CCTCATCCTTTGTCACTATCTTTCCCCCTGCTTCCAGTGAAGGATGCAGATTCCTCATAGCTCTTCTTTTGTTCCTCATGTGTTTGTAGAAACATTTTTATTGCCTTTTACATCAGAGACTAGTTTAAATTTTAGTTGGGCTTTGGCCCTTCTAATTTTCTCCCTGCAAAACCTTTCAACATCCTTGTAGTCCTCCTGAGTTGCCTGCCCCTTCTTCCAAAGCTCACAAACTCTCCTTTTTATCCCTAGTTCTTGCCAAAGCTCTCTGTTCAGCCAGGCTGATCTTCACTGCCACCTCATCTTTCAGCACATGGGGGCAACCTGCTCCTACACCTGTAAGATTTCCATACTGAAAAATGTCCAACCTTCCTGGACTCCTTTTCCCTTCCTGGACTGCCTCTCAAGGGACTCTGTCAACCAGTCTCCTAAACAGGCCAAAGTCAGCCCTCTGAAAGTCTAAGGTAGCAGTTCTGCTGACTCCCTCCTTATTTCTCCAAGAATCAAAACCTCATTTTGTGATCACTGTGCCCAAGGTGGCCCCCAGCCACTGGTGGTTCTCTGTTTGCAAACAGGAGGTGCAGTGGGATGCCTCCCTGGTTGGCTCACTCACCAGCTGTGAGGACATCAGATGTTGGAGGATAGTTTACTGTCATCTATCTGTAATCAACTGCAATATGAAATCATTAGCAAATATTAAGGTGTATCTGTTTTTTTTTACCTTTTTTCTGCCTTTGTTCCCCTACCCCACCCTTTCCTGCAGCAGGAGGAGCTCAGAGAGAGGGTTAAGCTCTTTGTTTTTTCCAGTTAGAGCAATGCTGTTTCTGCATTGTGAGCATTGTGGTTAGAGGCAGGCTTTTGGAGGGTGTCCAAAGGACCATCAGATTCAGAAATGGATTTCCAGTCCAAACTCCTCAACAGAAAATGCGTCCCTTGCTGTCGTGGGCTTTTCCATGTCTGTATGGGTAGTGCAAGAACCCTGGGTCATGAGGAGCAAAGTTATCCCATGCACGGGAAACTTTACTAGTTACCGCAGAACTTTACCCATCACGTTTCTTGTGAAGATGGTAAAGATTAGTTTAAAGATCATTTGTAAGCTGTTTCAGTTTCTGCTGGTAGAACAACAGAGGAGGCGGAGAGGGTTGGACTTCAGGCTGCTCTGTAGCAAGACTCATTGTTTTCCGTGGCATTGTGCTGTGCTCAACTTGATAAAAGCTCTTCTACAAAGTCAGAACACTGTGCTTTTTTCTTTGTAGTTAGCAAATGTGCGTGTTAGCTTTAGTGTGCAAGTGTGCACTTCCACGCATGGGTGTGCGTAGTTTTGAGCTCATAGAAGGAGTACTGAAGAAATGGAAGTGTTGCGATGACAAGTGAAATTAAAACAGCATTTCATTAAGAATGCTAATTGTATTTCAGTTGTGAATATAGACAAATAGTCTTAATTTGCACAAAGAACTAAGTGGCCTAAATTGCAGTTTTCTATTAAAAGCACTCAAATATATTAAAGATATAAAATCAGGTTTTTAGATTAATTGAGTTTGCTGAAGTTCATGGGGGGGAAGGGTCAAGAAGAAAGTTTGTGACTTACAGATTTGTCTATAAGTAAGTGGGAGAGGGTGGATGGGAAAGCAATGAGAAAGCAAGCTACTCTCTGCTGTTGAAATGGCCTTTTATCTAAATATCACTGAAAGGTTGCATTTGGGGATTTCTGTGCTGCACAAATACATTCATCATATCTTGCTGTAGTTTCTTCATTTTCTTGTAGAAGACTTTCCCCTGTTCTTGCTGAGGTCACCCACTTGCTCAGAATCCTGAGAAGGGCTTCAGAGAGTGACAAAAGATTCTTCAGTCACAGTTATTTTTTTATGTCCTAGGTGATCAATATTCTGGTGAGTGGGAGAGGAGCTTTGAACCAGCTTGTGAGGGGAACCTAGACTTATGGGGCAGTCTGGGAGGGGGAAGTACAGCCTCTGGAGCTGATGGACTAGCACTTGCCAACTACGTTTTTGTGGGGAAGTAATTTCAGTGGGAGGCAAAGGTCCATGTTGGATGCTGGCACCAATTGCTTTCTTTTATCTTCTCAGGAGGCATGGTAAGCAGGATGTCCTAGATCAGGGGGTAGATAAAAGGGACTGAAACTTGTCATCCACCGGATCTGCAGTAGATGGCATCTGAATTGCCACCCCCTTGAATTTGTCCAGAAGGAATAATCTGACTGGAGCTGTCAAGACCACGTCTCTGAGTTTACCTGTTGTGATCTGTGTGAGATTCAGGACATTAATTAAATGAGACAGAAGAGAGAAGTGCTTGTGAGATTCAAAAAAAAACCCCAAAATTATAGCTTTTAATCAGTGTTGGTCTTAGCAGGCTTTTCTTGTCCTTTGAGCTGGTGTTCTGCTCTTGGGCTGCCACTGCAGGAAATACACTGCTGTGCAACGTAGCATAGTCTGGCATTTCATCCTTTCCATTATTTTGCCCATAACGATACAGTTAATAGGATGTTAGTTGGAAACCTGTCTGTGTTGCAGATCCAAAATACTGTTGCAGGCTGTATTCATTTCCATTTTTGTGTGTTGCTAAAACATCTTCAACCAGAGAAAATGTTTACTAAGATGTTATCTGAAGAGTGCAGAAGGAGCCTTCTTGATGTTTCAAAATGGGTTGTTCAGGAACAGGAACCCTAATTTGTAAGGTTTGGAGAGTGGACCTTACAGTCCAGAGAGTCCAGAGATTGGAAAAACTAACTGCAGTTCAGTAAGTACCCCACAACTACTTTTTCACTCCCTCTTGGAGATGATGGTTAACTGTTAGTAGGATTGCATCCCCATTTTTTTTAAAGCATTAAAGGTGTCACATTCTTCTTTTCTCTATTATTCTCTTCATGTAGATGTAACAGAAACATTTAGCCTTTCACTGCTGTTGCATTTTCTCCTTTGGCATCTCTCTTCCCCCAATCAAATGCCAGAAGCCCAGAGGGCTATGGCTGAAGAAACGTACAGTCTCAGAGCAGATTTTGATTTAGTCTATAGCTGGAGTAGCCTCTTTCTCCTGCTAATTGATGTCTGAGTTGGAAAACCCCTGTTTCTCACAGTTGTGTAGTGAGTGTCAAAAAAGTAGGTGTTAGGTTGAAAGGTGGTTTGATCTCACCTGACACATTCATTTCAAGGGGTAGTTTGAGAGGAGATACTTTTTTTCAAGAAGGGAACAGACCAAGCACTTCGCCAAAACAATTGTAGAGGTGAGGAAAATACTAATTGGTGCTTTTACAAATTTATTTTGGGCCCACAGATGATCATCGGTTTTGCTTGAGATTTTGCGAGTCGTCGCAGTGAAACCAAATGTCTGCAGGTTTCAAGCTCACAGCACGTGCAGCCATGCAGCTAAGCGTAGTGGCATTTGCTTCAGCCAGGACTGAAGGTAGCAGGCTGGAAGTGGCATCTGATGAAGACCTTTTCTTCTGGTCATGTGCTTTTGTGCTAATAGGGTACCAAACAGATACTCACATAACAGAAGGATGGCTTGTTCAGAAGCCTTTTCTGCACAATGGATATTACCATTACTGGTGTTGGGGGTCAAAACAGCTTCTTCTGAAACCACAGTTGAAAACTGGGCTTGCAGCAAAACTTCATTGGAGGACAAAGCTAGACATATCGTCAGCATCCACTGTCCGCAGTAAGGGCAAAGCCAAAGGCTGTGCCTAGATGTGTCGTGCCATCTTCAAGATGGGGTTTGCCTGGACATGAATTACATCAGCCTTTGGGATTTCTGGCTCCAGGAGTGGTTCCAGTCTTAGCTAACTATCTGATGTGTTACTATGGATTTTAATTTGGTAGTAATCGTACCTCCATTGATTTCTATCAAAAACATGATCATAAAGCTGTAACAGTTGAAACAGTTGTAATTCAAGAGAGTGATCAGGGCGCCTGTTGTGTGGGTCTGCCAGGCTGTGCAGTGACTAGAAGGAAGCCATCCCTGCCTGAGCTAGCACAACTGTGGGAGGGATCTATTTTTCCCAGCTGCAGCATCAGGCTTAACCTAGTCATCTAAATTCTTTCTGTGATTAGAGAGAGACGTGATTCATCCCACCTACCTTGGAAAATGGTGACTCGTTCTCTCAAAGGGCCTGTGTCTCACCACTGACTACGTAGAAAACCTGGACAGTGAGCTGAGATCAAATACCTGCTTCCTATGCAGTTTAGGTGAGATAAAACCCTTTCCTTAAGTGGTAAGAGCTCGTACCTACATTCTTAAGCAATCCTGGGTAATTGCTAGGGCTGGCAATTAAATAAAAAAGCTCAGACTGGACTTCCCCATGTCTTTTATTGGAGCGTGGCATACATGAGAGGTCTTAAAAGGCATATCCTATTAAGGCAAATGTACTTGAATGAGATGGTACCATGAACAAATACAGGCCTTCAGTTAACCTGTAGTAGATTTAAAAATAATTCACTTTTCCTGTGTGCTTATTGCTAGCTGTTCAAAGAAGCCTACCTCGCATAATAGTTTCAGCCAATGGAGAAAGAGCTCTATATCCTCTTCTTTTGAACTTCTGTGTTTTGACACAGGATGTTTCTCCTGACAGTGGTAGTTACAACTCTTTCAAACAGCAAAATTTTGAAAGTTTAACTATAGAAGAGCAAGCATAGTAGCCAATGCTGCCTTATACTCAACATATCATATACATTCCTTTCTCTTATTAGCACCAAGCCTTTCAGTAATGTGTTAACGTATGTTTCTTACAGCTATTCTACCCACTTACCAAATGCTGACCTGAACTCAGTCCTTTTCAGCATAAGCGTATTTCTTTGTGCTTCTGCTCTGACTGGCTATGACTAGTCTGGTTGAGGTTCAGATCACACTCTTCTGCTATTTTCAGTGAACTTTAATCTGAGAGCTAGTAATTGGAAGTTAGACTTATAGTTAACCTGAGAATTGTTGGTTGTGGTATGTGCTGTATCAAAAGATTGATTATTTATGCTGATTATTTTGTTAATTTTTCAGATGTGGACTTAAGTGATGTTATGATATGCAAAATCCCTCCACACATGAGGAAAAGAGCCCTCTGTAAGTATGATCAGTGTAAGTGAATTAAAAATGTATCATTAGGCGAGGAATTAATATTGCAATTTAATAGTTGAGAACTCAGAGCGCCCTGGAAAATTATTATGCTCAGTAATATTTAAATAGAAACAGTTTCAGAAGTAAGAAAACACCCTATTTCAGCTTCTCAAGGACTCACACTTTCTAAGGATGTCAGCAACTTCAGAGATTTTAACTGAAAAGCAACTGTACTCTTAACTTCACTGCTGTCTGACCTGTACCTGTGTGAATGTGTTAGTTATTCTCTAATAATGTGTTTGTAGGATTTGGGGGAAGGGACTATGGCATCCTGTCTAAATCTCTGCAAGCATGTTTTTAGGTATTCTGTTTCATTGGGCCATTAAGTTTAATGGACTTAAAAAACCATTAGATGTCACATTACGTAAAGAACAAACCAAAGAAAACTTACTGCTGAAAGAAGTGGGAAAAAATAGGAGAATGAAAAGACTCAGAAACTGGCAAAGAATCTTGTTGGAAGTTTTATTTGACTAAATCTTAGGACATTTCCGTACTATTTAAGAAGGACTGGTGGTACACTAGCCACTTAACCACTTAAACATTAAAACAGAAAAAAAGAAGTGGTGGGGAAAAAAAAAATCACAACTTTTTTACTCTAAGCAATCAAACTTTGGAACAAGAAGATTGGCCAGAGAGGTTATGGAGTCTTCATTCTTGTCCAAAACCAACTGGACGCAGTCCTGAGCAACATGCTTTAGCTGACCCTGCTTTTAAGCAGGATGTTTGGATTAGTTGAACTCCAGAGGTCCCTTCTAACCTCAACTATTCTGTGATTCCATATGAATTAGAAAACTGCCTGCTTTAAGTTTTGGCTGTCATAAATTATATCTATAAGCAAAGTGTTGTTTTGTATGTTGTCACTGAGTCTCAGAGTTTTTGGGGATGGGACATTCAGAGCTCTCAATTTCTGCTTCTACTCAAGAATTTACTTTTCTCCTATTTGGAATTGGCTTATGACATTATATTGTATAAACCTGAGTTCAGTCACTGAGGCAAATAATTAGTTCTGAGGGGCAGTAGAGTGGTCCTTCTGGTGGCCCAAAGTCCTTCCTCCCTAGAACGTGCTCCCCATTTAAAGTCTCATTCCTAAGCTCATGTAGATGGCCAGGGTTGTGTTCAATTCAGTTGGTTTAGGTGCTTAAGTTACATCTGAATTTTAGATGTCCAGTGAACCAGTGCTGGTTAAGTGCATGAGGTCTCTATGGAGAGAGGGAGGTTCTTTTGAAATCCTCCAGAGGGAGATGCTGACTAGTTAAATTTAGAGATTTAAGTTAGGCAGGTTGAATGCTCCTTTGGAGGCCTTCAGACAGTTTCAAAATGCCTATTTAAAATACAAGTAAAGCTAGATATTTTATTTAATTACAATGCATCTTGCCCATTGTTAGGTCGATCAACCTCAGAGGAAGTGGTCGCTGTATGTCACCTTTCAGGTTTATCAGATTTTGCTCCTAATCTCACTTCTTAAACGAATGGAGTTTGTCATAATATTATGAAACGAATACAAAAATTCCTTAACTGCACTGCTAATGTGGCTGACAGAAGGAACATTCAAGTTTTATTAGCCCAACCAAACCCACCACATTTAAGAACGTAAACAAATTTTCTATAGGCAGTGTGTTTCTTTCCCAGCATAACATTTCACTTTATAGGCATCGTGAGGGGAAAAACAACTGTCATGGATGTCTGTAGACCAAAAAAGCATGGGGTGAAGGAAAAGCACAGACACTGCCATGTGCCACATTAGCAGGCATCCCCTTTTGCTTTTTCTTTCCATCACCATCCCAGAATTTCAGCCTTGCTCTGGCCCAGTAGGTTTTATTTATAGTATTCAGTATCCCTTTCTCATGACAGTAGAGCCTGGAATGACACAGTTTGCTTACACTAACTACATCTCCTGCCCTTTTGTTCTGCATTCTGCTGACCCTCTGTCCCTTTGTCCTTATCCCTCGTCCTACCTCTGCAGACAGAGTGCCCATCTGACAAATTTACTTGGGCTCCCCAGGGATTATGAAAACCAGGAAAGTTCATTAAGGATGGTTTCATAACTCAGACAAAGAAGAATAGCATCTGGTCTGTTAACGAGTCTCTCTCAACACCCATTCTCTGAGAGACAAGCTTTTCTTGCATGTGGTGCTGTCTTCAACAATTGGCAGTAAAACACTACAGACACACGGTTCGTGCAAATCGAGTTACTATGCGCTGGACCTGCCTCGAGCGTTTTCATTTGAATGACCTGAGGCAATTTTATGGCAGTGGGTCTGCTGCTGTTAAAAAAAACCAGTAGCTGATAGTGGTCTAAAATTCTGATGTCTTGTTTTTGCTCTCTTTATTGCTTAGTGTGGTGATGTTAGAGGAATAGCAATTGGAGACAACCCGCTGCACTCTGCTGCTCTGTAAGGCAAACATCAGTAAAGCCAAGCTGCAAGAAAAGAAGGGTTCTTCATGACAAAATGACAGCAAGGGAACACAGTCCCCGCCATGGTGCAAAATCCCGCACCGTGCAACGGGCTTCCACCATTGATGTCACCTCTGACATGCTAGGCCTTTCTCTAGCAGGTATGTACCTTCGTCTCAGCTGTTGCTCCTTTCAGAATCTGCTTTGTACTGACGCTGGCTTTCTTTCCATTGCTAGAAGATTTAAATGTGTCTGGTTATTTGGAGGCAATGAGATAAAGGAATTATTCTAAAAAATTTAAAAAATCTCAAATTTAGCATTTTTAAAATAGATAAAACTAAAATTGGAGAGCGAAGAAAAAACCCCTAGATTTTGTGCAACTAAGCTTATCAGTCAAAAATAAGCTACAGGGGGATAAAGCAACAAAAGAATGTCAAGGTCTAGAAAGAGTCTTGGCAACCTCCTTGTTTGACATTGTATAAAATTTTTAAGAGAGTTCAGGGAGCTGAGAATTATCTCCCTTATCTTTTATGGTGAGTAAATTAGGATTGTAACCCCCCAGGGGCTTTCTTTGATTAGTGAGAGAGACAGGTACGTTCAAACTTCTCCCTATTCGCTGATCACAGAGGAGATGTCTCTGATTTAATAATTCGGAGTTAATAGTGGCTCAGGCACTAAGTGGCTTTAATCCTGTTGTTTTCTACTGAGATGGGGCACTTCATATTCCCACATCCCACATAATCTTGCATAGTTTTACATATTTTAACATGTTTTATAAAATGAGATCATCTCAGTTTTTTTCACATTGTTTTTAGATACCAAAGATTAGCTACTAAATATTTTAATACCAGTCATGGCTCATTGAACTAATTTTTTTTTTTTTCATATAAAATCTAATTTATTTCTTTCTTTGACTGCAACTCAGGAAGGAATTCACATGGCAGCAGTGTTTGGCTAATTTTGTGTTACTTTTTCTGATTTACAGGAAACATTCAGGATCCAGATGAACCAATTTTAGAGTTCAGTTTAGGTAGGCTTAGTGATTTTTGTGCTAATTTTGATGATACCTGCTATTGAGTATGTGTGTCGTTTTTTAATTGTTGATTTTGAAGTCTCTGTCATATAGTAAGAATTGAAACTTTGCATTGATTTTTATGGAGATTTAGTATGGTTTTCTTGCTGCCTTTACAGCATCTTTCAATAAGCACCCAGCAGTTTAATTCTGTGATGGTTTAAAGGTCTGTAATTGAAACATCTGTCCTGTAAAATTTGTACTCTGTGAATGTTATTTATAAATGTGTATGTTGTTTATGTGAAGATACAGTGAAACTCTCTTTGATCTCAGTATATCGGCAGTTCAGGTCTTCAAGCAAACTGAAGATTTGCTGGAAACACCATTTTAGGACAGAATATTTTCTAAGAGTTACCAACTTACACATACCTTCTTTTCCTGTGGTTTTTGCTGTCAAGTGATAATGTGAGATACAGAAGTGACCTAATTTCTGAGATGGTTAAATTTGGACAAGAAGCTTGTGACCTCACTTGAAGAATAAGTGAAAAATATATTCTTCATGAAATCTCAGTCCACATTTTCCACTGTAGCATTGTTTTCTTACCTTAAGAGTGGACTAAATGTTTGGAAGGTTATGCTCTTAACATTATACTTGAAATGAAAAATGAGAACGTTTTCTCAGATGCATGTAACTGTGTTATGAATAAAGAACTTAACTCCTTAGAGTTGAATGAGGTACTTCAGATATTTTCAGGTAAATGAAAAATATCTGGAACTGCAAAGCTGTTTGGTGCACATTTGAACATTGTGCTTGCCCAGGTGAATTTCAGAATTGACTTTCTGCATCCAGCTGAAGCAGAGTCAGACCAGTACCAGTAGTTACCTGTATCTAGCTAGACCGAATTTGGCTCTGAAGTTTAATGTAATTGTCTAGAGTCACTGAAATTTTTGATTGTCGTTTCCTGCTCACCATAGTCCCTTCCTGGCAGTTAAACTCACAATAACATTTTAGAGGAAATCAATTACTGTCCCATTACAATTACAAGCTAGTTCTCCTCATAGTAGCGCTGCTGAATCAATGTTCAGGCACTTCTATTGGTTCTCTGTGGCAAAATGTCGCAGGCTGATGGGCTTAATGGAGCGTGACTTCAAATCAAATGCAGCCATGCTCATGAGATTCCCCAAGGAAAACCTATGCATGTGCACTGTGCTAATGAGCTGTGCCAGGCGGGTGGGTAGGCAGGTGTTAGAAGACAAGAAGTATAAATTACAGCTCTACAGCTTGGAGCCAGACTGATCTGATTGCATGTTTACTGTTTGCATGCACAGAGGTGAGTGATGTCTGCCTTTATAGTGTGGCAGTAGAATGAATATTAGGCCCTTCATGGCTTTATTGCTCAGGGTATATAATACGCTTTTCTAAAAACGTAGAATGTTACAGCAATATGAAAAAGATCCTGACTCTAAATGTATTTATCTATTGCATACCTAAAGCTTGCAGTGAGCTGCTAACTCCATCGCTAGATCGAAAACCAAATAGTTTTGTAGCAGTGAGTGTAACTACACCTCCTCAGGCGTTCTGGACGAAGCATGCACAGACAGAAATTATTGAGGTAAGTGGTGAGGTATTCCTGGATTAGATTTAAAATTGAAGCTGATACTAGAAGCATTTCTTCCTAAAAAATATCACCTTGTATTAATTTTTGCCTTTTTTTGTTTGTGATTACAGGGTACAAGTAATCCTATCTTTCTAAGCAGCATTGCTTTTTTCCAAGACTCTCTTATCAATCAAATGACACAAATCAAACTCTCCGTGTACGACGTCAAAGATCGATCTCAGGGAACAGTAAGTTTTCTTTCTTCTGTTGCCTCCCCAGTCAGCGTGGATCAAGGAAATGAGAGGCAAGGAGATAAAACTAGTGACTTTTTGTGGAAGAAAGCAAAGTGGTAGGAGCATTGATCCTAGACAAAGCAGGATGGGTAGGGGGAGGAGGGACAAATGCTGTGAGATGAACTTGGCAGAGTGGGGAGCATTGCCAGTTTTCTCAAATAAGGCTAGTCTGCAGCAAGTTTGGGAACCACTGATTTAAATTAAGAGGTCATGTCGCTTGTTCTTTTATGTTTTGGACCTCTTTACTGAACTAGGTAATGGATGTGATCCAACACCCCTGAGGCCTCTAACCTGTGCCAAAATGTTGGGCCTGTTGGGCTCATAATGAAATAGTCCTTTTGAACAGAGCTGCTAAATTCCGGAAATCAGCCTGCCCTGACACCTTAGTGATTTTGTTCAGGGCTCAGATTGGTTCCCTTACTGAAAGAAGTTCTAAGTACCAGCCCTCCCATGGAACTATTTGGATCTGTGGAAAACTCAGGCCGTTTATTCTCACACTGTTGCCCAGAAAAGTGTTTCAGACCCCACTTGCCTGCATTTCCATGGCTTCCTCAGGGTCAGCAGGGCTGTCCCTCTCTGTACAGTGCCTTGTAGAGAGGCTCTCGGGAACAAGGAGTACCTCAGGAGAGGGTAAATTCTCCAGGAGGAGCCAAGTTTGGGTCAAGGAAAGACTGTGATGTGTTGACCTAGTCAGTCTGAGCCCCATTCAGTCATTGCTTTCAGTGTTCCTGTATTGTGGGGCCTAAGCTTGTATATATTGAGGCGCCCCCACTCAGACCCTAGAGAAAAAAGATGCTTATTTTCCTCTGGTAGAAAACGGATTTTTGATAAATTACACAATTTATTAAATTTTAAAGGGGTTTAGTTAGTTATGTGTGGGCATATGTAATTACATTTTTGTTCTCAGATTTGTGTGCATAATAATTGTATTTTGGGCTTTAGTGCTGTGGACAAATCTTTGTTCATTGTAAAGGTAAATAATTACAGTTCTGGTACTGATCTTCTTTCAGATGTATTTGTTGGGTTCTGGGACGTTCAATGTAAAAGAACTTCTTCAGGAGAAGAATCACAGGTTGCACTTAACACTAAGGTTTGTAATAGTCTCCTCCGTTTAGGAATTAATTCTCAATTCTTGACAGCATGCTTAAGATTTGATGAAAACTGTGAAATGTGATGAAAACCCGTAGTTCGGTTCGTTGTTTTTTTCAGTTTCAGGCCCTTATTAAGGAAAAAACTATTCTGTGTTGCACGATAATTAAAATATGTAGAATAAGGCCCTTTCAACATGGTGAATAATGTTAGACATTGGTTCTTGATCTGCAGGCCAAGAAAGTGTTGTTAAGACCAATTTCATTTTTGTGCATTTGATCCTATCAATTCGGCGTATGTGTCTGTGGAGAGTGGCATAATTGAGTATTTTTAACTGTGCTGATGTATAAAGAGCCTGTGATGGGGAGAATGAAACCCATTGAAACAGAGCTGAAATCTTAGCTGTTTGGAGTACCTTGGCTTAGATAAATTTAGGCTCTATTTACCATTTTAACACCTGTTTCTACATTATGTATTTGTTGCCAAATAGTGTATTTTTCAATATAATTCACCAGGAATAGGAGGAGTCACATCCCAGCAACATTGATTGAAGTAATTTTCTTGTTTAATTCATACTGGAAACTTTTGTGGAAGGAATGTGACTTAGGAGGGCATGAAAAAAGAGGGTGTGAGTCTAATATCAATCCTTAAGGTAGTAGTTCTAACCATAGGAATCAAACCACACTCTTGAAAGCCAGTGTGGGACAAAGTTAGGTAGAGGGCTTGGCAAGAATGAAGAAAGTGAAGTGAGGTTATGTAAAGAGAGCTCTGATGTGTAAATGCACTTTGTAGTAGTATGTGTTGAAAGTAGGACAGGCATCCCTGTCAGAGAAGGCAGGGGAGAGTCAGTTGAGGCAGGAAAGCATAATCGGAGAGACTGAAGAAGATGCTGTTGGTAGTATCGGCATAATCAGCACTAGAAACAGTGACTGTGATAGACTTGCAGAAATGCCTTAGCCCAGATGCAACTGACAAAATGTAGGCAAAGCTTATCATGCTAGGAGAAGAGATGGGTGAGGTTTTTCGGCTTTTCCACAATGGGTTGTAAAGAAAAAATTGGCATGATTTAACAAGGGGGAGTGGATGAGGGATATGAGTCAGAAGAGTCACCAAAAGTATGACATGGACGGTGGGTAAAATAGTCTAAATTCATAGATGTGAAGATGAGGGTATTTTGAGGGAGATGAAAAAAAAGGAGGAATGTGGTGGCAGGAGTTTTGTGGTTGTGTGTTAGACATGGATATTCTGTCAGGTTTATTCTTTCATGACTAAGTTGAAAATGGACTTTATTAAATCTTTTGTGTTTTGATGTCAAGTGTATTCTGGTTATCAAACTGTGAATGCATGCCTGTCTTCTCATTGTCGTGTTACCCCTCGGATGTGTAGGCTGGATGCTGAGCAATGTCTGTAAACATGCTGCGTGATTTGGCTATTTCAGCCTTTTCTTGTAGTCGTCTTGCATGCTTATTTCTTTTGCCTCCCCAGTATTGTCTGTAGAGAGACCCCTTTTTTGTCTTGATTGTCCCAGCATATTTTTACATGTAAACAACAATCTTAAGATAGATTCTAAATGGTACTTTAAAATAATAACATAAAGTCTCTGCCAAAATTAACTGTGTGTCATGGGTCAGGCAGAATAAATGACAGCCATGGTAGATCTGGGTAAAGGTGTGTTTTTAAAAACCAGCAAGGTGAGAGCTTTTACCCCACTTGGTTCTCCCTCTGAGTCACTCGCTCACTCCCCCCTCAGTCATGTGTTCATATGGTCTCAGCTTCCCTTCCCAGCAAGGAGATGGCTGCTGGTCTGGGAAGGTGGATCAGAAAGCTGTGTCAGTTAGTGCTGTGCAGCCCCTCAGCTGTTGGTAGCCAGGTCTCTGGGGATCTCTGGGATTGGTTTCCATGCAGGAACAGGATCCTCCAGGATCTTCCACCATCTCAGGGATCTTTCCTTCATTGATAATGTTCATCATCATCTTCCCTAGACCACTTCTTTTCAGGATCCTCCTTTTTAGCATCAGCTTTTCTTTCTGGAATGTCAAGCTCCAGTTTTCCCAATCTAAATAGTCTGTCTGCAGAAGCACAAGATGTGATGTGCATCTGTGGCGACCTTGACTGGTTTATCTATTAAGTGGAAGATTTGGGATGTGCTACTTCTGTTTAGTGCAAGTTAATAGTAAAATCTGAACTCTTCCTGGTTTTACAGAAGGGTGGAAGAACATGCATGGCTTTAGGCTGCCTTCTATTAGGAGGTCTATACAGTATCTCCGCAGAATGAGGGGAGCGTTTTCCTGTTGGAATAACGCATTGTAAAAATAGGTAAAATGAGTTTGGAAAGCTTCCTATTTAAAATGTTCGTTAAGTTTGAAGTTTAATAGCCTTTTATAAGTGTTCCCTTGTTGATAAACAGGTCCACCTCCAAAAAAATCTCAACGCAGAGTGTTTGTTGCAGGTCGGCTGAAAGTGACCGCGTAGGTAACATTACAGTTATTGGATGGCAGATGGAGGAAAAAACTGACCAAAGGCCTCCAGTGACAAGGTCACCTGACACAATTAATGGAAGGGTGAGTATGAGCATTGTTCAGCTTCAGAAAGATGCAGATTGATGGGTAGTATTGAAATAAGTTGACATCTGCTGTCAAGTTTCCTGTCCATCTTGATAGTAATGCTTTACAATTTCAAAATACCAAATATTTGTCTGAGAGCAGATATTTATAGTGTTTTCTCAGCCTAGACATATGTTTAATTCTGTAAACCTTGTATTCTGAATATCCTGGTGATAGTTGCACATATATATCTGTGTATCACAGTCACAACGTGGCTTGGTATGACTTAATATCCAGCCAGACCTGTAGCTGCCACGTACTGGTGCAGTACCTTTAAAGACTCTGCAGCTGTGCTAACATGAAGTCGTTGAAGGGCTGGATGAAAATGTTTACAGCATTTTGAACTGTGCAGTAGAATTAAATATGAATGCTTAGATTGGAGGGTTTAAGTGGATTTATTATTTCAGCCTGCAATATTTTTTGTCCACAGTAAACATATTTGAAATATTTATTTTAGCCATGCGTTGTGTTGAATATTCCTATCAAGTCTGTGTAATAGGGTCATCACTGCATATTGCCCTGGCACAGAGGTTTTATTCTTTACTGTTTGTATTTTTGGTTTCTGTTTAGACTGTGTTGCCAGTTGATGAAAGTTTGACAGAATCTTTAGGAATCAGATCCAAATATGCTTCGTTACGGAAAGATGCACTACTGAAATCTGGTAAGCTGCTGTGGGCTGTAACAAGGAAGCATAAGGTATGAGTAAAAGCTAATCTCTTGCTGTCTTCCTGTGGCCCCAGAGCATTTAAGCAGATGTTTGGTTTGAATACGAACAAGCTGCTGATTGAGCAGCCCCTTGAGGGTCCTACAAGAATAAATTATTTTATCATCTGCACTATTTTGTATAGTAAAAACAGCACAAGCAAACTTGGGTCCATTAAGTTGACTGTAGGATAAAATTTAACATGCAATTTGCTAGTCTATTCCTAAGCAATTATTGTGGGGTGAGGAGAGGGACAGAGGAAAATAGTTGCTTAAAAAAAAGTCTTGAAGAAAGATTCCAGCAAATGATTGCATGAGAGGAAAATGCACAGTATGTAAAAAAAATAAGCCAAAAACCAACAGGTATTTCAAAATTTTGGAGGCTTTTCCTGCAAACACTGGAAGAATGGTAATTGCAGAATGACCATGCAAAAGCTAGACTGATGTTTGGTTAAACCAAATCTTTATGACAGTGTGTTACTATTGCACCTTAGTGGATCGAGGACATTTACTTTAAAAAAGAAGAGCTTTTGTACACTTTTAACTGAAATCCTATGCTCAAATAACATGATTTTAATTCCTTAGTGTTTGGTGGTGCCATTTGTCGAATGTATCGCTTCCCAACCACTGATGGAAACCACCTGAGAATCTTGGAGCAGATGGCTGAGAGCATCCTGTCGCTACACATCCCTAGGCAATTTGTGAAGCTTCTTCTAGAAGAAGATGCAGCAAGGTGAGTTTGGACAGGTGAGGTGTGCATGTGTAGTAATACCACAGTGATACGGCTTTTAGTGAGTTACCAAGGAATATATCTCTGTTAATACAGAAGCACTGCAGAAAAAACAGTAAAAGCAGCAGCTTGCTGACTGTAGAGTTACAGTGAATAAGATTTCATGCCAGAGTGTAGAGTTTGGGCTTGAGTGTATGGTGACATGAGCTTACAGAGGTTATGATGAGAGAGAATTGTTGGCTGAGTGAACACTTAGGATCCTACTGGGATCCTACTTAGGATATCTAATCTGAAAGCAGGTAGGTTTATATTAGAGATGAGGAAGAAATTCTTCCCGGGGAGGGTGGTGAGGCACTGGCACAGGTTGCCCAGAGAAGCTGTGGATGCCCCATCCCTGGAATTGTTCAAGACCAGGCTGGACGAGGCTTTGAGCAACCTGGTCTAGTGGAAGGTGTCCCTGCCCATGGCAGGGGGGATGGAACTAGATGGTCATTTAGGTCCCTTCCAACCCAAACCATTCTGTGATTCTATGATCCTACTGCAGTTATCTGGAATTAAGGGTATCTGTTCCTCTCACAAAAGTGTTGGTAAGGCCAGAGAATGTGTTATTCCATAGTCATGTGACTGTGTTAGGACCAACACATTAGAGTACATTATCTTTTTATATAAATGACCGTTTATATGCTTCAATACATTTTATCTTTTAAACATAGTTTAAGATAAAGAGAAGAATGAAGTTGAATTAAAAATAAAATGTATTTCATTGTTTCATAGATGGAGGAAGTCTGGATAGATGAGACAGCATAGATGAAAGAGTAGTAACTCCAGCTGCTGAGAATTTTGAGAAAGGAACAGAGACAACACAGAAACGAGCTAAGGGAAATGACTAATTAGAGTAGCAGACAGAGAAGAAAAATCCCGATCATTCTGAAAAAGTCAGTTGACTTCTGTGCTGTGAAAGCAAAGCACAGACAGGTGACAGGAGCACTGTCTCCACTCTGAGTTAAGAGATGGCTTTGAGAGTCAGAAAAGTAGTTTTGAATGGAAAACAGACAGAATAAAAGCAAGTAAAATGAGACACCATAGGACAGTGATGACTTTTTCTCATTTTAGAAGGTGGGAGGAAGAAAAAAATCTGTTAAGCATTTTGTAGGTTTATTCTGAATTTGCTTTTTTCTTGAAGCAACACTCTATTCCAGGCAACATACTCATTTATGACTTTTACTACCCTACATTTGTAGGCTGCGGTTTGCAAACATGGTCTGTGTATTCTTTATAAAAGCCAAGATTGGGATGGGAAAGAATTTTATCTGTATCTTTGAGTATTGGGTTTTTATTCTGGCTGTGTTTGAATCCAATCCTGGAGATGTAACTAAGCCTGACCTTAATTAAATCTATCTAGTGCTCTCATTATCCTATATTAATGTATTTCAATTCCTTTGCGATACTGTGAAAGAAAATCATGTGTTAATCTATATGAGCAGGCAGAAGTAGTCCACGGTGCTTTAATGTATTCCCATATTTTGCAGAAATAATAAATTCTCCCAGGAAGATGGCAGTGACTTTTTGTAATGTATGGAAAAATCTAATGTATGACATGACTGAGCTTCTGAAGTTCACATTAATATAATTTTTTTTTTTTTGCTGCTGCTGCTGAGTTCTTTTTTAGTGACGTGCACTTGGTAAGAGTGCTCAGATCTTAGATTCTAGCGAGTGATTCCTTTATCTTGTCTATCTGTCCTGCTACCACCTTGATGGAGGGGGTTTGGGATATGCCATTACACATTTAGACATGGGTTGTTCATTGTTTATTTTCCGTATTTGGTTCTCTACAGTGTTCCTCACAGTATGTTCAAAAGAACCTATTCGTTATGAGGTACAGCTGCAGTAATGTAAAGACCTGGCAAGCTTACCCATAAGATGCCATCTGTGATGGATGTAGCTTAAGGACTTGAAGATCCTAAAAGGCGAATTTAGGATGGGTGGGGAAAAAAGGTGCAGCTTTCTGTAAGCATATAGACAGCGAAGGTTCTTAAGGCATTAGCCATGAAATGTGACTGTTCAGAGGCTCTTACTAAAATGACACAGAGATAATGGATACATATTGTACACAGTTACAGGTTAATAACAGCCCAGGTGATGGCTGATATGACTTTGTATGCTCTGAATTGGAGCGGAGTCTCGTTCTCTGGAGATATTCAAATCCCACCTGGTTGCGTTCCTGTCCAACCTGCTCTACATATGAACATGCTTTGGCAGGGTTGTTGGACCAGATGATCTTGGAAGGTCCCTTCCAACCCCTACCATTCTGTAATTCTGTGAATTGCATGGCTGCAAGACAAAAAAGACTTTTGCGTGTAATTAGCGAGAAAGCCTCCCTTCTCTGTTCTGCTGAGATGACCCTCAGTGACATACACAATCACACTTTGTGGTAGGATGTCTCAGATTGGTCCAAGCACTCTCTTTTCCACCCTGTGTGCTGCAGCCCAGAGGAATGCTGGACAGCTACAGAAGCACAGCTGCCTCTGTTTTAACATCCAGGTGACTTTTCAAATGCCCTTGGATAATCACAACTGCTGTCTCTTATGTAAAGCCCTTAAGGGTCAGAGCTCTTTGAAAGGAAACATCTAACTGGGGGAATATTTTGACTACCTAGTTATCTGTGGCATGCTCATCCCCTGCTGTCGAAGCCCCATGGGACAAAGAAATAAACTTGACATGTTAAGCTGTGAATTTATTGCAGGAAGACCTGGGCTCAGATGCAAGGCTAGTTTTGAGCAAGGAGCTTGACAAGGTAGTCATAATAGCATCTTCTGCCGAAGCAGTTTACAAGACGAAACTGAAAGTGTCTTTTTCCAAGTCAATGATACATGTAGTAGAATCACAGACTCACGGAATCGTTTGGGTTGGAAGGGGCCTTAAAGACCATCCAGTTCCAACCCCCCTGCCATGGGCAGGGACACCTTCCACTAGACCAGGTTGCTCAAAGCCTCATCCAGCCTGGCCTTGAACACTTCCAGGGATGGGGCATCCACAGCTTCTCTGGACAACCTGTTCTATAGTTTACAGTGTGGTGTATTGACAAATCTTTATCTTGAAAACTTGCTTCCTTTTAGTAATATCCTAAATACTAAGGAGTGGAAATTCTTCTGTGAAATACTGTCTTAAATTATATAAAGACAATTGATTAAATATATGGATTAGGGATACTGAGAGACATGCAAAAAGAACTGCTGGATCCTTTTGACAGATGATTGTTCTGCTTTTTCTGGGGTAATGTGCTATTGAATTATCTCTGGTGTTGACTTGTTTACTTTTTCCCTTCTTCCTTTATTCCAAATTGTAGCTTAATACAAGCATGAGGTGAAATACTCTGAAGGCTTTGTCAGCAGTCCTGCTGGAGAACACTGTGAGAGAAGGGATTGCCACGTGTGTCTGAAAACCCAGCAGTCAGGGTGCAATGGGAAAGCCAAGGGTTTTCCTGTTCATATCAAGGGGTATCCAGTTGTCCTTTTTTCCACCTACAGTGAAATTTGAGTGCCCTAAAATCCAGAATCTTGCTTGAAGGTTTTGTTGTCTCATCTTTTGTCTCTCCAAACCCTTACTAATGCTTACTCTACTTAGGACTTCCCTGCCTGGCCTTGACAACTGTTGCGTAGGTACCTGGCCAATGCAGGTGCTTCTTATACCGAATGTCAGATAGGTGCTAATCTCCTGCCTAACCTCTGTCACAGTTCCAATCTAATTTGAGAGCCACCAATGTTCAGTGGAGTGGCCTAAAAAGGTCCTCATTGTCCCAAATCACCTGACACGATGACAACACCCATCATTTGCAAATTATCATATAGTTTGAGAGCTCCTGTGGAAAGGTGGGAAGCTTTGGTTTTCGCCAACACCTGAGGTTCCTGGCGGGAACACGGTGTATTGTGTTCTGCGTGTGAGGTACCTCTACCTTGGGGTAGAGCTCACTGGCTGTTATTTGGGTCATGTGTTTGGAAGTATTCCCAGTCTGGCAACTAGGTTAGAGTGAATTGAGAATGTGTCAGCTACATTGTCACAATGTGAAACTCATTGAAACTCATTCTTGGTCAAGTGGAGAATGGACCTGTACACCTCTCCTTTTGTTTTGTTTTGGTTTGGTTTTTTTTCCTTTTTCCCTAGGGTTTGTGAACTAGAAGAATTGGGAGAACTGTCTCCGTGTTGGGAAAGCCTTCGTCGACAAATAGTTACTCAGTACCAAACGATTATTTTAACTTATCAGGAAAATCTAACAGACCTGCACCAGTATAAAGGTGATTTCTTTTTCGTAACAACATGATGCTTCTCAACCGTGATTGTTAGTGGGAACTCAGAATGGTTTAGTTTGATGAGTGCAAAATGCTATTTTTAGATGTCTTTGCTTTATTAAGATTTATTGTGAGTTTGCTAATGATCTGGGAATATTTGTCTGCTTTGCTCATTCTTTTGTTTTATCCTGAAAGTACAGACAGTGACAGAACAGTAACAGAAAGATATATCTTTTTTTTTCCTCTGCTTTACTTTTGGCATGTAGCATATGATGAATGAAGCTCCTTGAATATTGTATCTGAAGCAGAAGGTTTTAATGCCTACTTTTCTCCTGTATTTCTCAGGTCCTTCATTTAAAGCCAGTAGCTTGAAAGCTGATAAAAAATTGGAATTTGTTCCTACGAATTTACACATTCAGAGAATGAGAGTCCAGGATGATGGAGGATCAGGTATTTGGTTCTTTCTCATTCTTCAGATTATTCTGTTACTTTTCTCTCCATTTTTTGATTTCCATCCTCAACAATGTAGCCAAGTTTCTAGAAACTACTTCTCCAAGTACTAGTGCTACTTGGGATTTTTGTAGCACCGTCTATCCTCACATTCCAAATCTCTTTGTAAAAGAAGAGGTGTATGTGTAATTATCACTGTTCTACAGGTAGCAGAACTAGGTTCTGGAATTAACTGTACCCTAGGTGACATAAGTCAGCCTTCGTACTGGGGAGTATATTCGATTAGGCTGCTCTCTCCCTTCCAGTCATTTTGGATTGTAGCAGAATAGCAAAGGTTCTGACTGTTGTTTGTTGTTAAGCTTGTGTGCTTTTTCTCTGGAATCATTATGTACAGTCATGCAAAATCATACCAGTTTGTTCAGATCAAGCTTCTTTCTTCATCAATCACCTAGGTTTTCCCTTCTCTGTCTGCAATTCCCACTAACTGTGGGCACACACTTGTCCCATGTATCCGTGTGAATGATTCCAGTAATGGCAGGTTATGGGTAAAGACCAATGTTCAAGGCTTCTTTTTCACTGTCAGTCTTGAAGATTAAGAAACTGAGGACCTGCTTTCAAGTAGGGTTCTCTCACCTCACAAGTACTTGGTGGATTTTCAGGACCTTTAAAACAATTCCCTTTTCCACGTCCTTCGAAACGCTGGCACAAAGTTTTGCAAAAAATACTTTCAGAGTAGTTTTTTTAATTCCACAATTGTTTGTCCACGGTAAAGATGTGACAAGCTTTCATTTGTAAGTCCTTTTTGTCCATCCCAGATCAGAACTACGACATAGTCACCATAGGAGCACCAGCAGCTCACTGTCAAGGCTTTAAATCAGGTGGCTTGCGGAAAAAGCTGCATAAATTTGAAGAGGCGAAGAAACAGTAAGTAGAAATGTTGTTGTGTCAGCTGTTACCGTGTCTTTTCCTCCTTGTCCATGCTCAATAATTTTGAAAATCATTCCATTCCATGTTTTTGTTGCGCTTCATTCAGTAGTTCTACTATACAATAGGAAGCTTATTCCATGGGTTTTTTTCCGGAGAAGAAGTGGGGAAAACAGTTTCCCCTTTATATTACTTATGTTCGTTTGTTTACTGATGGGTCCTTTCTAATAGTCTTTTTAGTGAAATCTTTAATTTTCCTGAATACTTGTTGCTTCATTTAGTTTAGCTAGTTTGGGTGTTGGGTTTGGGTTCTGCCTAATTGTGGATTACAAGAGTTGTCTGTAGAACCTCGTCAGCTGCTCTGCAGCATGCTTGCAGTCCATTATTTTCAGGAGACTTTCTTGGCTTCAAGGTCCTGTTGCTGAACTGTCTGTAGTACAGAACAGCTGTGCCTGATAGACAAATTCCTTGTTGTCAGCTTGGGTTTAGTTCTGGGACTATTGCTGGAGGCTTTTCTGTGCTCCCTCAAGGTATATGCACAGATACACCTTGCAGATTGCTTCTCAATCTGCCCTTACTCTGCTCTGCGGGCAGATACTTAACCTCCGCAGTCCTGTCTTCAGTGACCTCTGGAAGTGCAACCTTATGTACTAGAGGAAGGGGCAGAAATCAGGAAAGTCACATATGCTAAAGGGAGAGACCTGCATGGCACCCACTACAGCTCCCAAGGAAGAGATAATGTTGTCTAGGACTGCGTTACTGAAGTACGGAGGATTTAAGGAACAATAAGAGCAGCAGGACAAGGAGTCATTGTATCCAGGGAAAAGGAGACCTTGATAATGCCCTTCCAAAGAAAGGATTTGTAGGATTTGGAGCTGATGGGAGGGAGGGGGTGATGTGGGAACCAGGCTGTGCCAACTGCAGAATTAGTTTTGGCAGTGGAGAAGTGAATAGCAGCATCCTGTGAACATCAGTCAGATAGATATATACTGATAAAAAGATTGGAGCAAAAATATGCCTGGTATAATTATTCCTGGTTTACGGAGTGCGCTAGCATGGGTTTAGAGGGAACTGTAAACCCGGCAACACCGCTATTTAATTTATATCCACTGCTTTTCCTCTAAGCTCTACAGAGCTGTTCTTTCTGGGTCCATGAAAACTGCAGGTTCGACGTCTGAAGAATAACTTTCCTTTTCAGTACTTCTACATTACCATAAAAGCCAGTATAGTAGAACTGGGATCCATCTCCTCAGTTTCACTGTTCCATAGATGTTGTTCGGTTCTTTCTCCTTTCCTTGGCAAAACTGTGCTTGGTGCATCCACATTTCCCCAGAACAACACATGGGCATCTGGCAATCCGTGGGTTTTTGCTTACAAGTCGTCATGTACCCGCCGTGTTGAAAAGATGACTCAAATAAGTTATTTCCCCAAACATCCTTTGTTTTGTTTTCCGCTTTTGGTATTTGCTAACAATCTGCTAATTTTATTTTGGTTTTTTGTTTTTTTTAGCAGTTATGAGGAGTGTTGGTGAGTTTTCTGTTTCTGAGAGTTCTGTAGAGAGGGTTTCTGTTCTTTGGGTTTTATTTTTCTTTCTTTTCTTTGGCAAAAATCTGGTGTGTTTTAAAGTGTTCAGGGCTTTTTAATGTCATGCATCATGGCATCCCTAATTGTGCTCTAAGTAACTGTAGCTGCTTTGTAGAACATGATGTATGAATGAATTTCATTTCACCTGCAGTGTTTCTTTGTAATGAACAGCTAGCTTCCTGGCTCTCTGATCATAAGAAGTTAGAAAGCTAAAGATCAGAACATAAGGATTTTATATCTTTTCCTCTGTTATTTCCAGTGAAAACTGCCTGGAGAGAGAAATGTTCTGCCAGAGGTGGAAGATAATTAAGATAACTCTACATATTTTTAAATCTTTATGGTGACAGATTGGGCATGGTTTATATTTTTGTAAAACATGTCTTCATTTAAACAATTTCACTTTATTTTTCTTTGTGTTGTGGTGTTCAGTGAGCAGCGCAGAAGTTCTGCTCTAAATTACTCGTATTAAAGGTCGAACCCCTAATTCACTGAGAGTTTAAGGCTGTGTTACAGTTTGCTGATACAGTAAAATGAGAGCTGTTCATTTGAAAAAAGCAACTGCAGGTTGGAAAGTAAATATATGTGAACTTTACACTATAAATTCCCCCACCCTGATCATCCCAGCAAATGTTTGTGATTAAAAATGTAATAATTCTAAATCAGATCTTGATATGCTGCATGGCCTTTCCTGCCAAATATGTCTTTATGCATGTTAACCACACTATTGTGGAAAAAAATTGCTCAGAGGAATTGTCACTACGATCACCAGTCAGTAGAGAGCGTGAGCCACGTGCAGGGCAAGTCCTTAAAGCTGAGATTTATTTGCTCTGTGGCATAGCAGTACTGGGGAGTGGTTGTTCTCTGCTCCACTCAGGTGGGTGACCAGAGGGACACAAGTAAGAAAACTCTTCCAAGAATCGCTTCTGGGTTATATCCTTTGAAAGTAAACCCCCCACCTTTTCTTGTAATGGAGCTCGGACAGATGTTGGGATTACGCTTCCCCCCTTGCCTTACTGTCAGTTAAGGGACAGCTGGTATTTGTGGCAGTGATCTGAAAGCATGCCCCACGCAACCCTCCTGTCTTACCTCACAGACACGCCGCAGGAGTTAACAGCATCGCTCTAGGGGTAGCAGAGGAGTTCGCACTCCCCAGAGGCAGTGATCTGAGGTAACTTCCTGGAAAAGAAACCCCTCTCTGCGTACTCTCAGCGTCGCTGTGTCTGTCGAACAGTGCTGAGATCGATGCAAACAGTAGGTTCTTCTGTGCTGTTACTGCACTGGAGCCTGTCACGACTGGAAAAAATAAACATGTGGTCAGTGCCACCTCCTGCCTGATGCCCTGTCGTGAACAGGCCTGACGCTTGTCACAGCTGGAGCTGATGTAAAGGCCTAACCTTTGCACAGCTTTCCTGCTGGGAGGAGAAAAAACATGTTGCCTGGAGAAGGGAGCGACGGTGGGTTGGGTCCACCTAGTGAACCAAGAGCACAACTTTAATTTTCTAAGCGAAAAGGCAGCTTTTGTGAATGGCTCTTCTCTGGTAGGATCAAATCACCCTTTAGGAGTGCTGTTCTTTCTCCAGCGGTTACAGAGGAAGTCCAAACATCTGGCTTGGGCTGGATAAGCAGCTCCTGTAGACATCTAAACTTATAGGATGTGAACTATTCTCCTCCACTGCCAAGTAGGAGGTCTTAGTGGAGCTGCAGTATCCCAATATAAAGATATTTTTATTGGTATAGTTTATTTCCCTTACTGGTTGGAAAAGGCCAGAATTCGATACTGCTTTATTTTCTTGCAGCTGAGTTTATAATAGGGAGAGTTGTACCATGTCCCCATTTTAGGATAGTAAGGGTGTGCTAACAGAAGCCACACCGAGGAGAGAGTCCTTGGATTAGCCCAGAAATATACTTTGGTTTTTATATATCATACGATTGCTTTTGCTGATATAACCTGAATCAAGCCTGTGATAAAGGATATACTAGCAGAAGGAATTTTTGTTTATACCACAGTGTTTGCATTATGGATCTGGGTGGCATTTCTGTGTTGGAGGGAGGGCAGATTTTCTTTTCATGATGCTAGTAGCTATGGGATACTATAGCTGGTTTGTAAACCAGGTGTTAGTGAAGTGTCTGTGTTGTAAGGAGAGGGAGAGTGGGGCAAGCTGTCCCTGCAAACAGTTTGGTTCTGTCTCTGGTGGCAAAATATCACCCACATTCTCCTCAGCAAAACTGTCCCTCTGGTATACAAGCTCAGCCCACGGTCCCTTGGCGTAAGGGATCAGTAAATCTGCATCTGAATGCTTTCAGTAAAGGCAGAGAAGGCTCTAGGATCATGTTCCTGCTGTGCAATTGCCCACTGGCCTTTTTCACTGTTGGTTGCTAGCTTAGGTATATTTTTGTTGTCTGCCATGAACTTCCCCAGCATGCCGCTGCAGTGTGTGTACCTCTAGATCAATTTTCTCCCTAAAATGAGCCTTTCTTTTTCAGCACTTCAACAAGTTCCCAGTCTATTATATACATCCCACAGGACATTGTTAGAGCAAAGGAAATCATTGCACAGATCAACACCCTGAAGACGCAAGTCAGTTACTATGCAGAACGGCTCTCGAGAGCTGCCAAGGATAGATCAGCTAATGGCCTTGAAAGAACACTTGCCATCCTAGCAGACAAGGTAGAACAATCATGCGTTTGCACCCTGAAGCACGGTGCACATTTTTCTCTGTCTCTATCCATACATTTTCTTCCAACATTCATTTTACCTTGTTCAGCAGTGTGTTGTAACATGTACAGTCCTAAGGAAAAAGCAGAATCAGACCGGCCTGTAAAATTCACTTCTTTTTATTTAGGCTGTCTCCTGCTTTTCACACTCTTGCCTTCACCTCTTCTTGAGAGTGCGGTGGGGAGCAATGTTCTCTGCTTCCCTCTGTTCCTTCATCATATTCCAGAAATGGGCATTCTCCACTTTCTTTTATACCGTTTTCTCCATAACTACCTGCTTTTTTTTAATGTTCCTCTGAGTCATCTGTCAAGCGGCAGCAACTGGACAAAAAAAACTTCAGTAAATGAAACAATTCTGTATTTTCCCACTGGTGAAATAAGGAATAATGGTGACACAGCCTATGAATTATAGGGATGTAAATTGGTTGTTTCTCGATGGTTGCTCATAGAAACCAGACTGGACCCACAGCTGAACACAGCACCAAAAAAACCCCAGATACAGTTTTACTGACCTCTTCTGTCCCTGAAGCAGATCTGAAGGTCGTAAATGGCAGTAATGGCCAATCAGCTTGCCATGAATTGTCCCAGTGGAGGGGATATACATAGAACTTTGTAGAGTGCAAAACATAACGTAAATGTATTTTTTTGTTATAATATTAACTCTAAATGAGTACAGTGTATAACTGCTCTGTGAGATTTTCTACAGCTAGACTCTGTGTGTATATATAAGGCAGTAAGGGCTTGTTTGTTGTTGGGGTTTTTAATAGGCATGCAGACCAGATACCTTTCATATTCACATAACATAGACAGCCTTTAACACAACACCACTAAACAAACAAGTTGCACTGATTAATGGGTTCTGTCTTCAGCCCTCCTCTTAAGTCTTGTTGTGATTTCAGGCAGGATGGTGGCATTAAGCATGGTCTTGCAGGTGTGGCAGCTATTGGGTGGGGTATACAAACGTTTGCACACTGTTCTAAGTTTTCATCAAATGGGAGTGGAGTGCAAATAAAGGTGAATTGCACATCTGGGAGTGGAGTGCAAATAAAGGTGAATTGCACATCTATCAGTGAAATTTTCAACAATTATAGACTACCACAGTCGTGCGAACATTGGAAATGTACCATTTGTGTTTTGGTCTCCTATATTGCTTTTTAAGGCCATTCTGTAAAATGAATTTAAAGACAACTTGGAGACTCCTAAACAATGGTTAGTTTCTTTTCCAGAATACAAGTTCTTTTCTCTTTCTGTGAAAGAATATAATATAAATTGTGTATAATAAGGGAATAATGAAAAGGAGTTAAAATATGGCCGTTCTGCTTTTTAGACCCGGCAACTTGTCACAGTCTGTGACTGCAAGCTGTTGGCAAATTCAATACATGGACTGAATGCTGCAAGGCCAGACTATATAGCTTCAAAAGCATCTCCAACCTCTGGAGAAGGGGAGCAAGTGATGCTGAGGAATGACCAGGATACGCTTGTGGCCAGATGGACAGGAAGAAATAGCCGATCTTCTCTGCAGGTGGATTGGCATGAAGAGGAATGGGTATGTTTGCTTAGTAGAGTGATGGATATTTCCCTCCCTTTAGCTTTTGTTTGCTGTGTTCTTTATTTATAAGCTCTGTAACTGCTAGATGTGCATAGCATGAGTATTTTGGAGGTACTGGTCAACTAGCAAAGATCCTCCCACCATCCTATGCTTGGTTACTCCTTGGTGTGGGGATACAAACAGGCCTTAATAAATATTTCTTGGTCTCTTAAACAGTGGAGACCTTTACAGTAGGTGCATGACTTTTCTGAATTTGGTTCCAAGGGGAAATAAATAGTTTTTAAAGTAAAAAACTGACCACACTACAGTGAGCTCTTACATTTCCCCAAAATAAAGCATAATTTGCGTGCGTTAGCTATACAATTCAGCCTTCCTGGTTTTTATTCTCATCTAAATATTTAGAACTTGCAGTCCATCTCTATTTTGATTATGAACAGCATTCTAAAACTGTTTGTGCAAAGAATTCAAATGGTTTTCCTTACCACACTGCCAATTGAACTGAGAGCTGGGCTGTGTAGCTCCTGTCATTGTGTAATATAAACAGAAGTGAATTAAATCTCAAGAATAGTTGAGATCATTTAAAACAATTATTAATCTTGGGAAATATCCATTTATAAATGAGATCCGATTCATTTTGGAAATGGATCCTTGCTAGTTTTAATTGTTTGGCATACTTTAACATACAGTCAAACTCACAGTAACGAGATGCAAATAAAGCCAATTCAGTCACTTAGATAGTAGTACAATACAGTAATTTTGTCTGCTATTCACTGAGTTGTATACAGTCATATATCTCTTTTCCTATATAATTATTATGTCAAACAAGAATAAACAATAGTGCCAACTGGAAATTGTAATAATAGTGAAGGAAGAGGCAGTTAAAATTGTTCAGCAAATTTGCTTTGAAAACAGCCTTGCAGTTTACCACACAAGTCATGTCGCTGCATATTGCTGACACGCTGATCTACATTATTTATATATCCAGAGTTTGTGTGTGCATAAATGTAAACACGATAGCCCAGAGGAATTGTGACTAGAATTACAGGAGGAAAGGTAATGCCAAGGAATTGCCTCTCCTTAAACTGAGAAAAAACTGTTTTCTTTTAAGGAGAAAGTTTGGTTGAACGTTGACAAAAGTCTGGAGTGTATTATACAGCGAGTGGACAAGCTTCTCCAGAAGGAGCGCTTGCAAAGTGACAGCTGTGAAGATGTTTTCCAGTGCGACATCAGCTGTACTAGTAAGAAAGGTAATCGGGACACTCGTGCCTACTGGATAAATCCAGAAGATTTAAATGAGACCTCATCATCCTCACCACCTTCGTCATCCTTACCACCACCTTCATCCATACCATCCTGTGCATGCCATTCCCTCAGAAAGACAAGTGCGTATGCCAGACACTGCTTCTCACCGCTGCTCTCTTCCTGTGCGCTGGCATCGTTCCTAAGCCTCTGTTACATCCTTCCATGTGTTTTTAGTTCAGTGGTGGTGTTAGGCACTGGGGTCAGGCAGACAGGACTGGTGGTGTACTGGGAACTACTAAGCCCATTACTTACTTTGAAATCCCAATCCCACTGAAATCGTTGCTAGATCCATTGATGACAGTGTCATTTGATTTTCATACTGGGTGTTTTAAGATGGTAAAACAGGTATTAGGGTTAGCACGTGTCAAACATCACCTCTGGTAGCTTTACTGTTGGCTTCAGCTTCTTTGCAGCAATCAAAGCTTATTAGAGTGAACCTCTGTGAAAGATAAATAAAACATGAGAGAAGTGCAGGCACTACTGCAACACTAATGGTCCCAACTGAGCTGCCAAAGCACAGGAGGGGAGCCAAGCAGTCCCGCTAGACTGAGCTGAACTTGGATGTTTAAAGCAAACTTTAGCCCAAATTGTCAAAAGCTGTGGTGCTGAGGCACTCAGACAGACTTCTTGTAGCTGGAAGGTAGGAATTAGCAGTGCAAGCTCTCAGTGGAATAATCCTATCAAAAGTTGAGATAAAGCGGGTGCTGGATTGAATCCAGCGTAATGCCATGAGCATGTGAATTAAAGATATCCTTATCAGTTTAGGTTGACAGTTTTGCAGTGTCCTTTAAATTTCAGAATTATTTCATTTATATATGTACATATTCGACTCTCACATTCTTTGCATGTGGTCACTGTAATTTGGCCACTTAATAGAGCAGCTGGGCCAAGTTAAGTTCTAGAAAGGTTGATTTGTGTTTTCATTTCCTTTTTCCTGTTCTGTCTTATTGTTTGATGGCCCTTTGTCCCTTATGTGTGTCTGTGACTTCATGTCCATTACATTATTAATGTTGCAGTGGAAGGCAGTAACCTAAGAAAGCAAGAAAGAAGTTAAAATAAATGTTAATTTATTTTTGTATAGCTTTTACATGTTGCTTAGTATCTCGACCATTTTTTCCTAGATTAGACTGACATTTTTGTGTATTATAAAGGAATAGGAGAGTTGGTTCTTGTCTAGAACGTGTTCTCTATTAATCTTTGACTAAATCTCTTCTACCAGTTTGATACCTTTAAATGTTTTCATTTGCTAGCTAGTTTACATAAAGTTTTATATGTGTTTACATAAATTTTTATATGTATTTACATGAAAGTTTTATCAGTAAACTTCAGTGTACCTTCATATTAATGATTAAAAGTTGTGGATTTTTAATATTAAAAAGAATAGGAAAAATCTGTGGTGGGTGATATCGGAAGCTTTTTCCAAGGCAATTTGATGCTGAAAGTGAAGCTTTTCCCAAGACAGTTCGATCATTTTCAGTCAATCTTTTAAATCTACTCTGGATCTTGACGCTTATGCCGTATAAAAGTGGAGTTAGCTGCACTTACCAACAGAATATTCTGTTTGTCAAGAGCTTCTGTAACCTTTCCCTGGCATTCCTCCAGAACAGGAAAAAAAAAATCTTCCTATTTAATCCACAGAACCTGGGCCAGAAGCATTAAATCAAGAAGTGCAGCAAGCTTTGAAGCTAAGGGTGTTGCTGCTGTTTCCTAATGCTACCTAAGTGTTTCCTAATGCTACCTAAGTGTAAGGACTAGATCTGAAGTCTGACTGTCAACCAGTTTTGGGTGAATTTAACTTAAAAAATGCTGGAGAGGGAATTCTGTTTCTTAGGTCTCTAATGCGAACATTGTTTGTAGGTCTTAATAAATTTATTGTAAGCCAGGGCAAGCTGAGTACTTGATCAGGTTCTCATCAGAAGTAATTCCTAATTAATTAAAGATCAATATTTTTGACAGAGGAACAGGTTCAATACTATGAAAAAAACCCAAACCTGTTCTTACTGAAATCAATGGGAATTTTGCCATTGAGTTATTTTCCTTGACTCCACACCAAACCTATCTGTTAAATGAAAAGAGGGGTAGATTCAAACTAGATACAAGGATGAAATTTTCACCATGAGGGTGGTGAAACATTGCAACAGGTTGCTCAGAGAGGTGGTAAAAGCCCCATCCCTGGAAACATTCATGTTCAGGTTCGATGTGGCTCCGAGAAACCTGATGCAGTTGAAGATGCCCCTGTTCATTTCAGGGGGTTTGGAACTAGACGAGCTTTAAAGGTCCCTTCCAACCCAAACCATTCCGTGATTCTTTGAATTCCTTTTTACTGTCACTGTCCACAACTGATCATGGGAATAACTGAGGGGCAAAGAAAGTCCTTTCTCTAAGTTCAGAATCACAATATTTTTAAGTTTTTCCTTGTCATGTAGTCAAAGGAGTAACACTTTTTCTGTTAGTAATTCTGAGTTTTGAATAAATGATACTAGGCAGAGAGTGGCCAGGATTTTTTTTTAAAGCAATGTAAAAACCAGCAAATCAAGATGGTTCCAGAATTGGTAAGAGAGAGACAGTATAGTGTTATTGAAGGACCTTAGAGGATCTCTCTCGAGATGAATGTTTGTGAAAGAAAATACTGCCTGAAATAGTAGAAGGCAGTCTTTAGAAATTCTCTTAAAATTTATTTTTGTTACAGGCTTAGGTATTCATTACTAAAATTGCATGGGGGCATATAGCTTCTTTAATGAACATTTAAATTTTTTGAGAGGTTCTTATCTCCAATTGTGTAGCTCAGCTCATTGTCCTAATGCATACAATTGAATTTGATACTTTTCTGTTGTTATTTTCAGATTTGGACTTCACTGACTAGTGAATCTAGATAGAAACGGCAGAAGTTTAAACCCTGTTAGCGTAACAAAGTACTTTTCATTAGTGCAAGACTTGCTGTAACAGGGTGTAGGTCATTTTGGTACTGTTTGCATTGCACTGTAGTGTCTTTTCATCCGACAGCTTGTTCCTCCCACTGACTTGAGTGTGGAACATTCACAGGCTTCACTGGTGGGATTTCAGCCCTTAACGTACGATCTGATGCTTGTGTTAACTCTCAGAAATCGTGTGACAGAAATTTGTCGAAGATCGCCAAGTACTGTTTCTTGATTACTCTCACGTTGTGGGCGCCTCAATGTCATTTTCTGGGAAATGCATTGAACTTACTGCTAGTCTTTTGCTATTCTGTTTAGCAGACTGCCAGCTTATTCTGTAATTGCACTAAACCAGTGGTTCTCAAATTGTGCCCTGTGGATTGCTGGAGATAGACAGTGCGCTTGCCCCTGAGCTAGCGGGTACTGGCTTTCCTCCAAGTCCCCATCCAGGTGTTCCTCTGGTCAGAAACAGCGGAGTGGAGGAGACAGCCCATGCCCTCAACGGGGTATCTGTGCTGAGCTCCTCTTCCCTCCGTGAAAGTATTTGAGAACCCTGGCGTTGAGCATTTGAGTTGCTTATGTTTAAACTACGTTGCTGCTCCTTAATCATGCATGTTGCCCCTCCATTTCTGTGCAGATTGCAGCCCTGCCCCGGAAGAATCTGGCCCAGGTATGTGCATTCATGGCTTCTGCTTCTTCTGAAAATGGCAGGGGTTTGTTCATCATTAACAGCCGAACAAGTGCCTTGCTCTTAAGGTTGACCATTTTCAAAGGGTAAGGCTCTGCACTATCACACGACTTACCTAAACAGATTGAGAAGTTACTATTTTCCTAAATAATAGTGCCAGGGGGTGTCTGGTAACTTCTCATGTTTGGGTATGGGGGAGCACTTGTTCGTGGTCTCTGGTTTCTCCAGTTGATGTGTTTTAGTAAACTGTTGTGGGTGAGAATGATTTGAGGTCTATTCCAAACGTCACGGAAGTCTGTGGGAGTCTGAGATTTCAGACGTTTCAGACATGCCCTTTCACAAGTGCTGTTGAGCCGGCCTTTCTGAATGAGAACTTGAGTGGAACACGGGGCACTCAACAAAGCTGATGGAGAATCTCTGTGTTCTGGGTGCACACCAAGCACTGTGGGGCACGGCAAGGCTAATGTTTCAGAATACAGGATTTAGGAGACTTTCATCCCAATGTTAGCCTTCCTTCCTCTCTTTCTGTGCTTCAACACAGTGGTGTTGCATTTATGCCTGAATAATGTGCCTCTGTAATACCACTCTCTCCCAGCTAGATGGCTGTAATTTCTCCCATTTCAGAGTAGTTTAAACTGAGTTCAGTGAAGGTTCAGTCTTTGAACTAGTGCAGCATGGGCTCCTGGGCTTAGTGAAACCAATAGGAGATAAAGCCCCAGTGCAGGTATGATTTTCATCTTCACAAAGTATATTAATGATGTTCTCACTTACTCACCCTGTTTCCTTCTATCACCGAGAAAGTGGTTTTAATCAGTAAAAGACTCCACAAATTTTTAATTCTTGGAACATGCCTTTAGTTTTTGCAAAATACAAATGTGGTGCATAAGTGAATGCTATATATTTATTTTTAAGATGGGAGTAATTAAAAGCAGTCAGGTTATCTCAGTTGGGTACCCAAATATACCCAAAACTTCATCTTAAGTGGCTGAAGCTACAATGCAGTTATTTTAATATTTTTATTGCTCTGGAGAAGAAAAACTCTTGGGGGGTGGGGGAGTGGTGCAAAAACTTTTCCTACCTGTCATTACATCCTTGATTTATACAGGCTTTATGTATTAGGTTCTCTTAAGAAGACTTTCATTTTAAAAACAGTCAGTAGTGTATCATTGGAAAAGCCTGCTATGTGAACTCGCAGGCCTTCCCAGCATATCTCTCTCTCTCTCTCTCTCTTCCCCCTGCAAAGTGTACATTAAGGTATGACTTTGGTCAGCAGCATCATAAGAAAAATAGCAAAGACTTCCGGGGCCAAGTCCGGCCCTTATTCACCAGCCAGAACTCTGTTGCAGCTGTCTGAGTGGAGACTGCAGGGTTTGTCTCTTGCTGTACAACATAAAGCACCTAAAGCAAAAGACGGGCATCCTGCCAGCTTGTGCAATGCCAGTTTTTAGATAGACTAACTTTTAACATGAACTAGAAACCTCATATCGAAGAATGGGATTTGTGTCCCAGACGTACCAGCAGCTAGCTTCGAGTAGGTCTCCAGCTGTTGTAAATCTGTAAAAACTTGTTGCATCTCCATCGTTTCAGGCCCTGTTCCAAATCATCGTACCTGTGGGTCTGCCATGGGGAGTCTATAGTAGTTTTTAAAAGTTCTGGTCATCTCATAGAGCGTAAAAGCAGAGCTCAGAGTAGATTCCACGTTAGAATTACTGCCTCATGGTGTTTAAAAGTGTCATTGATTGATTTGATAGAAAATACACTCTCAGTGATAAAGTTCAGTTAGGAAAATTAATGAGAGAAGAAAGAAGGACAGGAAAATCCAGGTGTAAATTGAACACTTTAGAGTCCTTCCACATTTATTTAAATGCTGCCAGTGACATGTTCCAACCTGACTTGAGCCTGGGAGTGCAATCCCTTTTACTGCTCTCTACTGTTAGTAGCAACTACCATTTACTAAAAAATTAGAAGAACACAGGTGACACCTCTGTGAAGTAAGGAGCAAAAAGCATTTAGAACTTTGCACAGTGACAAGGGTTTGGTTTTTCATGGCCAAAATTTTAAACCAAGAGGATACAGAGCACAGAGGATTTTTGCTCATTACCCCAGGTGTGCCCCTGCATTGCACATGTGCGTTGGGAGAAAAAAACCCTCTGTTTAACAATTGCCTTATCTTCAGGCCAGCTGGTGTACCACCACCATCTGCGATTGCCACAGATAAACATGTCTTTCAAATGAAGTGCGGACAGACACACTACAATTTTAAATCTCCACTGAGTTAGTAACTGTATATCCAGGCAATGAGGTGATGATGATGTGCTGGGAGGTCTTTTCAGTTCTTTTTGTCATTCTCATTTGTTTATAGGAAAGCTCTTGAATGCACCAAGAGAAACACTGTTAGTATCATCTGTGTTTTGCTTTTTAAGTGCTCACAAGGCCATGTTATGGCATCTGATTTATTTTGAGAGAATAGACTATAAAAGGCAAGCTGTAATTCCTTGCCTGTTCTTTTGATGTTTCTTGCCTTTTTTATGGCAATGGAGCAGAGCCAAAGAGCTTCCCCTTGGTGTAGTTTATTATGGTATCTATCTACCGCATAGAACAAAAGCAAAAAGGATAGGTCCAATAATCTTGTCAGTTATGTTTCTGTTAGCAGACTTCCAAAGTTCCCCTCTCTGGCTGGTTATCAAAGAAACATTTATTGTTACTAACTCTTAGTCCTGCCTTTGAGTCAGAATCCCAAACGACTTCCTCTCAGGGGCTTGAAGTGCCCCATTCAGGCAGGTTCTGATCTGTATGTTGCCTTGTTCCTAGAGCCAACCGGCCTGGAGTTGGTGTGTGTTCTGTTTGTGAACTCCGGTGCTTTTTAAAAATAAAACACCGTGTCCTTACCCTTAAAAAGAGAAGTGTTCTTCTGTTTCAGCCTACGTTAAGGAGGGCTAAACCAAAGCACTGTTCTCTTTTCTTTTTGCATTGCAGAGAGAATGGATTTTGGTATAGCATCTGAATAATTTTTTGTACAGTCATGGAAATGGGTTTTTGAAATTGGTGGTTGATTAAGATGGAAGATGAAAGAAGAAGAAAGAAACTGAGTTTGTGGGGCATCTTAAGGCAGAGCAATGTCTTAGGATGAAGGAATGTACAATGTTTTCTGGTACTAGAATAGAACTTTGGTGACTCAGTTTAATTTCTGTGCATCCTGTGTAGAACCTTGGAGAGAGTCTCTTTGGGATGTAGCTCATGTATTTTAGGGGAAGTCAAGCTCTGAACTACTTCCAAGGATCTGGCTAACTCCCATCTGAATTACTACACTTGCTTGGTGTTTCTTGCTAGCTAGCTCTGAGCCTTCAAAGCCACTCAGCAGACAGAGGACACTTAAAAGAGTACCTACATGATTTTTTCACCTCTCTGCCTTATTATTCCTATGCTGCAAATGGGAAATAAGCATCCTCTTACCTCACTGAGGTGCAACAAAGATCAATAAGATGGTGAGGCAGTTGACTGAGACACCTGGGAGTCCATAAAATATTCAAAGGCAAGATATTTGGGAGAAATCTCACTGACAGAAATGGCTGAGCAGATACTCACTATTTCTGTTATACGATGGGCTGCATGCTGTCTGTCCACGTACGCACTGTGAAAGGGTGTGTTTGAACATGCACGTGCGGCGATACACACTTGTGTATGTAGGTATTCCTCTTTCCGTTATACTTTCCTGTAGTGTTCTGGGAGCTGTTAGATGGTCGGGAAAGTCATAACAGCCTTACAGACTATAACTCTCCCTATTTGCCTCATGCAATAACCACTCTGAAAAATTACTTAATTAGTTACAAGGAGGGAATAAACAGCCAGCCAAAATAAAACAAGTCCTAAGTGTGAATTATCAACAACTTTGACTTGTCACAGGACGTTTCTTCTTAATGCATGTTTGTTTGTTTCAAATAAAGTACTTACAGTGCTGCTAATTTTCTTCTTCTAACCAGGCGAATGGAGCGAAGCTCTTTATCCCTTGCTGACAACACTCACCGACTGCGTAGCCATGATGAGCGACAAGGCAAAGAAAGCCATGGTCTTTTTATTAATGCAGGACAGCGCCCCGACAATAGGGCTCTGCCTGAGCCTTCAGTATCGCAGGGATGTTGTCTTCTGCCAAACTGTAAGCAAGCAAATACACGTGATTGGAATGCGCTTCGACATGTGGTGGGGTTTCTGTGAAATAGGACTGCTTTCAGATTTTTTCAGATCTGTTCTACTCTTGGGTTTAACACTGTGATCTCACAGGCTGTGCTGTCTTCTCCTTAGTCACTTAGATGCATTTGGCAATACATAACTTAAGCGTCTCCTTGGATATACGTTCACTATTTTTAAACAAACAATAATCCAGAACTAGTGAAAATATACTGCTGTCTACAGAAACAACCTTTGCCTTCCAATGCCACCAAACTAAACAAGAAGTAAGATGTGGAAGAGGAGGGAAGAAAATTACTCCCTTTTGTTTCATTCTGTAACAAGATTATACTCCTGTTTGCATAGCATATGGCAATCACCTGGGAAATTCTGTTGTTCACAGAGTGAATTAAGACTAGTACTAATCTTAGATCTTAGTACTAGGTCTTCAGGACCTTGTCCTGAATATCTCTTAACACTAGAGATTGAATTGTGGCATAATGCAAATGGGTATTGCATTTATAAGCTTTCCTAATATGTCATTTAAAAAAAAATGAAACCACAAACATTTATTCATACTACCAAAATGCATGGTCAGGAACTAGCTGTGTTGATTTTCCATCTGTAATTAAAACAGTTCTCCAAGGAGACTCGTGTATTTTGTAAGTTGTAGACCCTAATAAAAGCGATTGTGTCCAGAAAACAAATAGATGTGAGATGAACAGCAGTCCCATTTTGGGAGAGCTTGTGAGATGAAGGCAGTGTGCCCTAAATCTGATTTTATGACTGTTTTGGGGGTTGGTTGGTTGGTTGTCTCTCTTCAGCTACCAGCAAGAGAAGAGTGAAGTTTAAGGGAAAAGAGCATCAGTCTGACAGATTTTATGGCACCTCTTATATGTGAAATTGTTTTTGTTTGGAGCTGAAGAACCTGTTTTGTCTTGAATCATTTCACTCTTGTCCGTTTTCTCTCCCACAGCTGACAGCTCTCATTTGTGGTTTCATTATCAAGCTGAGGAACTGCCTGCATGATGATGGATTTCTAAGACAACTGTACACCATTGGCTTGCTGGCGCAGTTTGAGAGCCTGCTGAGCACTTACGGTAAAGGCACAGGGCAAGTGGGTGGTATTAGCTGTTGACTCAGCAAATTCTGCCTTGAATTGGCTGCAGCAGAATAATCTACAGGATAATCTACAGCTCAGCTACAAAAGGATTTTGAAAACCTAAATGCAAAACCAGATTATATCTGGAGTACTTAATTAACTACCAACTCTGAATTTCTTTCCATTTAATTGAGTTAATTCTAAAAGATAACGTGTACTTGCCTTATAATATAGTGTCAAAAGTTTAGAAAAATTACTGATCCCTTTTTCAGAAAAGAAATGGATTAAAATTCTGGTAAGATGGGAGAGACTGTGCCCAGAAGATGCTTCTTTAATTTCCTTGACCTCCTATGATCCAACAGTACAAAGTGAGAACATACGGAATGTATGGTAACTTTTCCAACACAAAGGATGTCATGGCAGTGACCAGGCTGAGAAATATTTACTAGCATAGTCTACACTGGAAAATCGGCATATAAGCTACTTGAAGAACGTTATGGAATGGTTTGAGTTGGAAGGGACCTTAAAGATCACCTAGTTCCAGTAGTCCTAGTAGTCCATCTAGTCCTAGTAGTCTGCACTGTGCTAGATAACTGGTATTTTCGAAACTTGCTGAACTCAGTCATGACGTTGAGTGCAGTCAGGGTGAAGTCCTGGGCTTTAGAGCCTCCTCGTTCACTGAACTTCTTTCATGAGAGCGATGACCTACAGTCGTCATCACATTGAAGCTGCACGTGACAAGAAATGATAATGATTCACTTTCTCCTCCTTTTGATTTAGGTGAGGAGCTGGCAATGCTGGAGGACATGAGTTTGGGAATCATGGATTTGAGGAATGTAACCTTTAAAGTAACTCAGGCCACATCAAATACATCTACTGACATGCTGCCGGTCATCACTGGAAATCGGTAAAAAAACAAAACGGGGTGGGAGGGAAGAAGGGTGGGAGAAGCAGGGATACTGCACTTGAAAGGAATTATGTGCTTTTGTATTGTGCTCTTTTTCTCCTCAGAACTTGAAAGAAATGTTTTGAAGTGGACTTACTCATTTTTACTGGTGTTTCAGTTTACAGGGAGCTAAGCTGAAAAGGGTTAGATGGCAAGGCTCAAGCCATGGCAGTATTGTTTTATGAGTACATATCGTCTTGACCTAGCCTTCCGCTATCATCAGCCCAAAGTATTCAATCTTTTCTGAAGCCCTTACATTGGTTTTAAATTTCAGACTGACTTTTGAGGCTGATGGCGCTGTCTGAAATTCACTGCTGTTGTTGTCCGTTGGTCAGTGCTTTACTGTATGCCACTGACTGATGGGCCACCGCTCGCGCATGGAAGGGTATCTGATGGCAGCTGATGGGCTGTTGCTGACGTGAGGCCTCTTTAGGCTCAATTTCCAAACTATCAGGGCCAAGCTGGATTTAACTTTGAGATGTATGTCTAAATGCCAGACTGCTGCTCATTTTGGCCATTTGTCTGAAAAGATATATTTTCAAGTTTGAGGTTAAAAGGACTTTTTGTTTTAAAAGTCTGAAGTGACAAACATCACGTAAAGAGGAGTGGGAGTGATCTGTTACAGCTCTGTTATGATGGGAAGCATTTACAACAGAGTGACATTTCAGTTTGAATGCCTCAGCCTGCTATCGGCTGGCCTCATGCTGATTTCTGCCATGGGGCTGACGGGCCCGGGCAATAGAGTTCTTGCCCAGAGAGAGCCAGTTCACAGGTGAGGATTAGGCTGTGGAAGGACAGAGGCCTCACGAAAGACAGTGTTTTAATGTTTCTGTATTTCAGTCTTTAGAATATTTTTTTTTCGAATCTGATTGCTGGAGGAAATCAGGCTTAGGCAATTACAGTGGGCTGTACCAAGCTCCACTGGAGCTTTGCCCAGCTTTGTCCACATCTGAAAAAGATACAGTTCTCAAAGATAAAACTATTTAGAGGAACTTGTTAAGGTCCACATGCAATGTAAAGTGCCCTAGCTGAAGGAGGTCTACAGTGCAATCATGTATGTTACAGAAATTGCTGAGGTCTGTGGAAATGACAGAGCTGACAGAGATTTCCTTTCAAAGAAAATCTTTAGTTGAAAATTGCCATCAGCTAAACCAGTCTTCATTAATTTTAGGTCTGATAGTGTTGCTTATCATGTTGCTGTCTAGATTTTACTCAAGAAAGAGAAGAAAGAAATCATGCCTATTTAATTTGGTGCAAACTACTAGAAGCTTTACATTTGGAGGTGAAAATAAGTTGTTTGCTTTAGGATGGGATTTGTGTGTCTGTCCAATGTGAGTGTGGGACAGACCGCTTTTGGTTACCTTATTACATACTTCTCAGAGCTCTTTTGCTACAGCTGAGAGTATATGCTGTACATGTGTATCTCTGTACTGTAAAGGCTTGGATGTAGCACCAAGTTATTGCTGCTGCTAGGTTAACACACAGCACACAGACCACAGTACCTTGTGCCATGGCAGTTCCAACATAGGGTAGTATGTCATACCTTAGCCCGCACGGATGTTATGGGGTAAGTTGCATTACCTCACATTTGCCGTGAGATGAAGCATACACAGTGCTCTTTGCTTTAGCTCCGCTGACCCAAGGTAACTTGCGTTGCTGCAGGAACAGCTTGTAGGTCTGAGTGATGAGTTTCTGTGTCAATGTGTTTGTTAGCTCCCCCTCGAATTTATGCTTGTATCGCTACTGTCACTGCCTCTGTCCTTCTGCTCAGAAATGCCAGTACTACTTACTGTATCCAAAAATGTACCCTTTTATGCCTGTGCATCATCACTAGCCTTTATCACTTTGAAGTCAATTACACTTTGCTCTTGATGAGATGGGGACATGCCAAAATTTGGCTTTTTCTACCCAAGCTGTACAAGAGCTGCTGATCAGCTTTTGTCAGGAAATTGGCAGATCTGACTGAAATGTCCATGAGGGTGTAAAATCAACATTACAGGTTGCTGCAGGTTTGTTTTTGAACTAGAATCGTTCTTCTGATTAGGAGCAAGCTGTGTCAGTTCCTTAAAGCTTTGATCAATGCTTATTGTTTATTAGTCATATTATGCTCCAGATGTTAGCCCTCTTTACATAAATAACACATTCTCAGGATGTAGCTTTATTGATCTTTATGTCTAATAGCTGTTTGTTTATTTGCAGTGACGGATTTAATGTGAGGATCCCTTTGCCAAGCGCCTTGTTTGATTTGTTGCCGCGAGAGATTCAAAGTGGGATGTTACTGAGGGTTCAGCCTGTTCTTTTCAACGTGGGCATCAATGAGCAGCAAACCCTGGCAGAGAAGTATGTGTTCAGTCATGCGAGCTCAGCCTTAATGGCGTCTCAGCAGTCTCCTGTTCTGATGGAAGTATGGCTCTGTGGAGTTGCACTGTTGCATTACTAACAGGGATGCAATTTCTCCAGCATACGAACAAGGGAATACGAAGTGAAGCTGTTAAACGCAAAGCAAACAGAAGGAGGTCCTTCTTTATACAGCACATAGCTGTGGAGCTCTGAACCTTGTGGGTTTGAGTCTAGTGCAGGTTGATGTGAGTCTGAAGTGAATTTACAGAGGAGAAAATCTGTTGTGGGCTATTAAACACAGAGGCGTTGCTTGTGACTCGAGACCGCTGTGGGTGACATATCACTAGAGGCTGAGAGATCATTCTGAGCATTGTTGTGTATTTGCCCTCTTGGTTTTGCACTCTCCCCTTGACTCCCTCTTCTGGCCCCTGTCAAAAAACAGCATAATGGACTAGATGGACCTTTGCTTCAACATAACCTTGCAGTACTTATGTAATTCAACACTGTTCTTGCAAAGCTGAAAAATATAATTATGTAGTTATATTTGCTAGGGAAGCTGGTTGGTTTTGGAAGAGCCACCAGAGCTTCCCTTTGTTAAGGCCATGTCACAGGACTGTCAGATGCACTGCTCTAATGGAGAACTCCAGTGAAGTCAGGCACATGCATGTTGTGACAGCAGCCTTGGTCCTGGGGGGAGCATGCAGTACGACGGCGGACAACTAGAAAAAGTCTAACAGAGGCATTCCAGCAGTTACTGCTCTCCTCTGTTGCCTGTAAAAGGAGCCCAAGGTGGACAGCATAGTTACAGACATCAGCACTCTGTGTGTGTAGCTAGTTAGGTGAGATGAATCATGGCATTGTTGATAACAGGCATTACATTCGTGGTTTATTCCTCCTAGATCCGTATTTCTCATTGACGTATCTCAAGTCAAAGTCCTCAGTCCTATCGATGTTATTATTAGCTTATGAACTAAACTAGTAAATCCATTATTAAAAGTTTGAATTTAAGCAAAGTGATTTACCAGGTGGGTATTTAATATTGAAAGAGACACAAAAGCCAAAGCATTTTAAACACTATTTGCTACAACGTTTTCGTTCACCCTCCTTCCCACTTTTTTCCTTACACTCATGTATTTTCCTTTTCTGTAATGAATCACTACAACACTTCCCTGTTACACTTTACTCTGCATTGGAATGGTTGGGAATTCCATGGGATGAAGCTTTAAACTGTTTTCTGGTAATCATATTGCCAAGTGCAGTTGTTTTGAAGAAGAGGAGAAACCTTTTACTTCGGGCTTAACTGTTCCTTTCTTCACCTTCTAAAGGTTTGGAGACACTTCCCTGCAAGAAGTAATTAACATGGAAAGCTTAGTGCGGTTGAATTCCTATTTTGAGCAGTTCAAAGAAGTTTTGCCTGATGATTGTAAGTATTTGGTTATTAATGGCAAATTTCATTGAACAGCACAATTCAGGCTGATTTTTTTTCATGTTTGCTTCATGTTAGTTGTTTAGATGCTGTTGATACGTCAGCATTAATAACCTCCAAGAAATGGTATAACTATTTAATACGTTAGTACTAAGCAGAGCAGGTTCAAGAGTGTTAAAGGTTAGTCTGATTAACTTCCCTTTTTTCATTCACTTTTTCTTTACATGTCTTTCTAAGTGGCATTATTTACTGTAAAAACATGCACCTAGGAAGTTAGATTGCCATGAGGGGAAGGCATAAAAGTGACAGGTCATAGCAGCAGCACTTCAGTGTGCAGTTTTGGGCACGTTTATGATAACCTGCACAGAGAGCAACTGCCAGTTTTTAGGAACTTAATCACTTTCCCTCTGCTTATCCTTTGACACTTCCCTATAATTGTTGCATCAGCCAGCGACAGGGAAGTCTAGCACCTGGAAGAGAGACAGTACCTACAAGCTTGAATTTTACTGGCTATACAGGAAAATGTCTTGCTTGTTACTGGGTTTTGGGAGGCAGTGGCATAAATGTTATTTACATGTGACCACAAAAATGGTGAAAATTCATTATTAGTAGTATCAAACCTCTTGTAAGCTGATTTCATTTGCACTCTTAATGCAGAAATACAAATGCAGCAACATGCCAAAGGACAGTAAGAATTCTGTCTGTTAAAGTACGTTACTGTACTTTCAGCTGCCCTGGATCTTTTGACGCAGCTGAGAGCAGAAGCTGTTTCCCTCCTTCCAGGCATACATAATCCTGCATAATTAATTCTCTGAAATTTTAGCTGCAAAATTTAATTTTTTTATTATATTACAGTCTACCATAAGACTTTTTTGTAGAGTTCAAAAGTTAATCAATTTAATGTGATTTTTGTTCTGGTTTTCTCCCTGTTACTTCATGTCTCTGTTTAGTCTTCCATAGTAATAGTTCCTGTTCAGCTTCTTCCTCTCTCTTTGATTTTCCTTGTCTTTTTTTTTTTTTTTCTTCAACCTCTTCCCTCTTCCCCAAACCTTTTATGTTGATCCACTCATCATTTACCTTTTGCCTTTTCTCCTGAAACCTGTTTTTTTAATCCTGGAATCTGTATTCTGTCCTGTCATTTGTTCCTTCTCATGTTTTTTCAACTCTGTTTTAACTTTATACCTGATTGCCTCTATTTTTAAAGAGCACTGGTGCCATGACCTTCAGTTTCTCATTTACCAATAACACATCTTGCACCAGAGGTTTTTCTTCAAGTAACATGAAGTTCTGAATGAGGTTGGTGTGAAGTGACATTAATGTGCACCTTAACAGTGAAATAAAACAGAATAGTGTCATGTCCACCTGCCTTTTCTCCCTTACTCTGGTTACTTGTCATTACATTCATCACTGCCACATGAAATAAGTACCACAAAGGGGGAAAATCTGCCCTCTGCCAAAGCTTCCTTGCACTTCACTGTGTGTCCGGTGTAAATGCAGACATATCGTACCTGGTTTTGCAATCCAGTTGGACAAATGGTTTGGGATTATAAATGATAAACAATAACTTTTATTAGGAGTGTGACAAAACTACTGTGGGTGTCCCAGCCAGGTGTGTTAGAGATGCTCTGACAAGATGAGAGTATATGGACAAACCTGGGACTGTGTATGTCAGAAGGAAGGTCTGAGGGTGTGTTTTGTACCTCTTCTGTGGTGATATTTAGGACATAGAAAGTGAAACATACTTTTCCATGAACCCTTGTCAAGAGAGAATAACATTTTGCATTTAACTGTAAATCAGGTGGTTGCTATGACCAGCCGGTAGTGTAGCCTGAGGTAAGTACAGGCAAAAGGAAAACCAAATGGATCATTCTAGGGGACAAGAGGCCCAGTGAAGTACCTGGTGGCAGCTTGTAGGAAATGTTCCCTTCAAGAACAGTACACAAGGAAAGTTGATTTCTGGTCCACTGTCCTTGTCCCTGTGCTCTTAATTCTAAGCATTACAGAATTGCTCAGTAAATAACTGTCTTACCTTCATTAGCTCCTTGTCCTTGTTGGATTAGCTCTCCTTGTCTTTAGAAATACTTGGGAAGATGGTCTGTGCCCTCTTCTTGTTTACAGGTATTCCTTTCTTTCGAGGCGTAAAGTTGAAGCAGAGTAGACCAGGATGGGCACAATATTGCGAGTCATGGAATAGAATCATAGAATCTTTTTGGTTGGAAAAGTCCTTTAAGATCATCAGGTCCAACCGTTAACCCAGCACTGCCAAGTCCTCAACGAAACCATCTCCCTAAGCACCACAACTACATATCTTTTAAATATCCCAGTGACTCTACCACTTCCCTGGGCAGCCCGTTCCAGTGCCTGACAACCCTTTCAGTGACGAAATTTTTCCTGATATCCAATGTATCTCCCCTGGTGCAACTTTGGCTGTTCATCACTTGTCACTTGGGAGAAGAGATCAACCCCCACCTCTCTCCAGCTTCCTTTCAGGCAGCTGTAGAGAGCGATCAGGTCTCCCCTGAGCCTCCGCTTCTCCAGGGTGAACACTCCCAGTTCCCTCAGCTGCTCCTCACAGGACTTGTGCTCCAGACCCTTCCCCAGCTCCGTTCCCTTCTCTGGACATGCTCCAGCACCTCAGTGTCTTTCTGGCAGTGAGGAGCCCAAAACTGAACACAGGATTTTAGGTGCCCAGTACAGGGGAACAGTCACTTCCCTAGTCCTGCTGGCCACCCTGTTCCTGATGCAGGCCAGGATGCCCTTGGCCACCCGGGCACACTGCTGGCTCATATTCAACCGGCTGCCGACCAACACTCCCAGCTCCTTTTTCTGCTGGGCAACTTTCCAGCCACTTGCCCCCAAGCCTGTAGCTTTGCAGGGGATTGTTGTGACCCAAGTACAGGACCCAGCACTTGGCCTTGTTGCACCTCCTACAGTTGGCCTCAGCCCATGGATCCAGCCTGTCCAGATCCCTCTGCAGAGCCTTCCTACCCTCAGGCAGATCAAGCTCGTGCCCAGCTTGGTGTCATTGGCAAACTTACTGAGGGTGCACTCGATCCCCTCATCCAGGTCACTGATAAAGATATTAGACAGAAGTGGCCCCAGTACTGAGCCCTGGGGAACACCACTTGTGTCCTGTCACCAACTGGGTTTAACCCCATTCACCACCACACTCTGGGCCTGGCCATCCAGGCTGGTTTTTACCCAGTGAAGGGTGTGCCCATCCAAGCCACGAGCAGCCAGTTTCTCCAGGAGAATGCTATCAGAAACGGTTACTAAAGTCTGGGTAGACAACATCCACAGCCTTTCTCTTGTCCACCAAGCAGGTCACCTTGTCCTGGAAGGACACCAGGCTAGTGTAACATACTGAGTGCTCTGAGAAGATATGTGTTCAAAAAATAAAACCCCATATATCACCCAAGTGGAGTTCTTTTTGTGACAGAGTCATTGTTTAACAGTGCATACCTCCCTGTCTGTCCAGTCACAGCTTTAATTGGTGTCCTCTGTAGTTAACCCTTAAAAAAACCCAAATCAAACCAAAACAAAACTGTGCCCTATTTAATACTTGTCTATGATTGTCTTGAGTATCTTGCAACAGATGTAGGAGATGATATGTATCACTTTGAATATATCACTACTGAAAGCACTCTGAAATACTGAAAAAAAAGATATTACTACTTAGTGAAATATTAATGCCACAGATCATGGCAGTGCGGTGTCCTGTTGGAGAGAGTGCTTGTTGTAACTGGAAACCGTCCAGCTTGCAAATTTAGAATTGACAATGGGAGCATACTATAAAGTATCTTCAGAGTTTCTGTGGAGACATGCATGATATCCTATCATCTCTGAGGGGTGACAGTGCAGGCAGCTACGTGTTTGTGTACAGTTCTGAACAGTGTGTGAAAACAAGTACATCTGTGACACACAAACCAAGTTACTATACCGTTCTTGCTCCCGTTGTTCACTGTTACTATATTGCTGTCAGATAACCTGAATGTGTATTTGCAGTTGAATGTAATTAAACTTGAATTCGTTTTGTTGGTGGTACCAAGTAATTAAGAATTGGATTGTTGTAAGCTTTGACAGTTTCAAGAAAACACAATTGTGTTTGCAACAGGCACATACGGACACTTTCCACATGACTTATCTTGTTTGAAAGGGTTGAATACAGATTAATAAGTGGAGTTGGTTTTGTTTCTTTTATAGGTCTACCTCGATCTCGTAGTCAGACGTGCCTGCCTGAACTGTTAAGATTTCTGGGACAAAATGTACATGCAAGGAAAAATAAGAATGTTGATATCCTTTGGCAAGCTGCTGAGGTATTTATTAATCTAAGTGTTATCTCTGCATAGTTCAGCTGATTTTCTCTATGCCTGTGTATTCTCCATTTTTTTTATTACTGACATGTTCAAATTTCTTCATTTGAACTTCTTGCATGTCCCTTGGAAATGCAGCCAGGTTAAACCTCCTCTAGAGTGATACATAAGGAGATGAGATGCATTTTCCACATCAGTATTTTTCCTACAACTCATGCAACAAAGTTCTGGTCTCAGAGATGACAACTTTTGACATCATCAGCATTTGTGTCTCTCTAAGGAGAAGTACAGGTGACAGAAGGTTATGCATGAGGAAGGAATGATGAATTGTATATCCCGTTTCTAGATATGCCGCAGACTAAACGGTGTTCGATTTACAAGCTGTAAAAGTGCCAAGGATAGGACTGCCATGTCGGTCACCCTAGAGCAGTGTTTGATCCTACAGCATGAACATGGAATGGCTCCACAGGTCTTCACCCAGGCTCTGGAGTGTATGAGGAGGTAAGAGTTTGACTATGTCACTTACTCCTAAATGAGGAACCATGCAAACTGCAGAGGAGCAGTCATCTCTCTTTCTGTCAAAAGGGAGGGAAAAAAGTAAAATAAAGTCAGAAAACTGCAAAACTGGCTGCTGGAATTCATCCCTCTCTTGCATGTACTAGTGAGTTGCATATGCTAAAGCTGGTTGTTGCTGGATTTGCATCAGACGGGCTTTAGTTTTCAGTAGTGAATCGTGAGTTTTCAGAGAAGCATGTAAAAACGTGTTTTCAATTAACGCTGAGCTTGCAGAACAGGAAACTGGTGCCTCTTTGGAAGTTGTTTAATGATGAGGTTACTTGACCTGTCCAAGCGCTGGGTTTCTTAGTTCTAGATCAGGCAGATTTCTCAGGGATGACCTGTCTTTTGTACTTGGAAACATAGATGCCTGCAGTTTGCACTGGTTTGCCACGCGTATTCTTAGCAGTGAAACACTGCTCACTTGGCGGAATGTCGTTACGAGTGTTTCACAACACAGCAACCCAATTTCATCACAGCGTGTCAGTGTGCTGTTGTCCTAGCAGTATAATGACGTTCTGTATTCTGAAGCAGCAGAGATGTTTGCAGAATTAAATACTGTACTACCAACCAAAAGAAAAAAAAGAAAAGAAAATCTGTTTACTGTTGTTCGATGCCTTGTTTCAAGCACTGCTGGAAAGCTCCGTAACTCACATACCAAAAGAAAGGATAAGAACTCTAGCTTTAGTCTTTATCGATGTAGTTCAACAATGCTGTTCAGTCCTGTTTTTCAACATTCACTCTTACTGAATGTACTGTACTGTGTGTCTTCTCACCAAATTCTCTAGAGTGTTCAATTCTCTTATCCTTTCTGTATGTTTTTGCTGTTTGACCCTTTCTTACTCTTCAGTCACCTAGAAGGAAAATGTCTCATGTAATGTAACACTTGCAGCGTCCTACACTAATGATTTGGGGTTTATATCTACATTTAATTGGATGTCACTGGATTTTTAATTTTTTTTTCACTTTTTTGCTGTACCTTTTGTTACATTGTTACAGGAATATTGAAAGAGGGCCAGTTCAATCAAAACCTTTGGCTTGTGTGTTATGGCAGCAGCAGGGACTTGCTCTGACAGGTGAAAGACGTGACTTTCCCGTTCAGTCTTTCACTAAGAGAGATTGTGTGGAACAGATACTAACTAGCCCTAAAGGAACACTAAGATTAGACCGTTCTTCAAGCCCATCACTCTTTCTTCCTCAAATCTCATTGCTTTTGGGGCTAGGTGGTTGTGGTTTTTTAAATTATTTGCCAATTCTGCTCAGCAGCAGTAGCACAGAATTAACAAAGCTTAACGAGAGAGATAGGATTACAGAACAAATATGTAGGAGTCCGACTCCAGCCAAGCCCATTTCAACCTGGTCGCGGTGACCTGACATAGGAAGTGAAAGGCTAGCAAATTACTTCCAGGGCATTCAGAAAACGTGCTTTTTTCTTTTAACATGGATCTTTTATTTGTGTAACTGTACTGGAAAAGGAAGGCTCGGTTCAAACTTGAAGACTTCTGAAGTTTCTGGGGCAGTTGGAAGGACAGGGAAGAAGTACTATTATGTTGTGGGACTCAAAAGTATTTCACCTCCTCTGTACTGATAACTTTACAGAGAAGAAAAACATCCTTGCTTACACTCTCGAAAAATTAAGAAAGCACCTTCTACTTCCATGTGATGTTGGTCTTCAGAGGTGTGAGTTCCCACTTACTCATCCTCAGGGACTTCCTTTCCTTCCTAGTCTTGTGATAATTAGTTCAGTGACCATGGACATCAGAGAGAGAACATTGAGTGCTTGTTGTAGATTCTTGTAGAAATTCACAGATAGGAGTTTGTCGTTTTCACCTTAGAAACAAATATCCTACTAGTGTAAACTCACTTTTCTGTAAATAAGTTGCAGCTGTTCCAGTTCCTCATCATATATATGGTAACTCATAGCCTACAAGTAATAAAATCATGTCTGGAAGACCAAGCGACAGAGGAAATGCCTACCTGGCCGGTAAAGGCAGCTCAGGAGTCCAAGTCCAACTGGATCACATAGCCACATCCGCAGCAGTGCCAACACTTCCTGCTAGACCTGTGACTCCCTGCCCTCATTCCCTCTACCAGATTCCTGTCCTGTCAAGTGTGCCAGTCGAGCTGTTTGTGTGAATAAGCTCTAATCCAGATTCAATCAAAATCATCCTGGTAGCAAAATCCTTTACATGTTTAAGGCAGCCCAGCTCTTTTTCATTAAAACAAGTAGGAAGTTGGGACACAAGCAGTTCAGCCAACAGGGAAGAGCTGTCTCTTAGGGGCTCTTGAAGAGCAGCTGGAAGTGGGGTGAGAGAAATAACCTCTTTCTAACTGCTGTGGTGCTGACTAAAAAGACTGCATAATGAAGCCCTGACAGTCATGTTTGGATATGGCCACTCATGGCAGTTAAACACCCATGATAAAAAGATTGGTTGGATTTCTTCACTGGTTGACCCGTTTAAAGTTGTGGTGGGTTGACCTTGGCCCCCCAGCATACGCCCCCCCAGCCGTTCTCTCACTCCCCCTCCTCAGCAGAACAGTAGGAGAAAATATGCTGAAAAGGCTTGTGGGTTGAGATAAAGACAGGGAGATGTCTTGCCAGCTGTTCTTACAGGCAAAACAGGCTCGACTTGGGGAAAATTAATCCGCTGCCAGTGGATTTGGATGGTAAGAAACAAAGACAAAAGTGAAAACACCTTCCCTCCACATCCCCTTGTGTCCCAAGCCCAAGTACTTCATTCCTTCGTTCCCAGCTCCTCTGCCTCCTGCCCCCACTGCGCAGGACACAGGGATGGGGAACAGGTGTTTGCAGTTAGTCCAAAACTGCCCCTCGCTGCTGCTTCTGCCTCCTTGCTTCCCTACTCCAGCGTGGGTGCTTCCCACGGGCTGCAGTCCGTCAGGATAAATCTGCCCTGGTTTCCTTCAGGAAATATTCACCTGCTCCACCACGGGGTCCTCCACGGCTGCAGTATGGATATCTGCTCCACTGTGTTCATCTCCAGGGCTGCAGGGGAGTCCGGGGGCACCTCCTCGCCTCTTCCCTGACTTTGGTGCTCATAGGGCTGTTTCTCACATCTTCTCCTGTCACTCCCCACTGCCACTGTGTTTTCTTAGGCACGCTTTCCTCAAGGCACCACCAAGGTGGCTGTGGGGCTCAGCTGGGCCTGTGGTGGGTTCATTTGAGACGGCTGGAACCTGCCATGGCCAGCACGGGGCAGCCCCGGCCTCTCCTCAGAGAGAGGATTCCCATACATAAACTGGATTAGTAGGGAATTTGCTTTGTCTCTTTACCCTGATCCTCTCTTAGAGGCAGTCTGCTGACGGACGTTTTGATTTAGACACTGTACAGTTTGGTATTGGCAGAAGGTGACTTTCCATCTCTCGGGTGGAAGCATCTATATGGGCCAACAGTGACAAGGAAAGCACTTTCCAGCTCTTGACTCCAGTCCCGCCGTATGTGTCTGTGCATATGTCTTTGTGTAAAACTGAATAGATTGATACCAGTTCTCATGGCAGAGATGTGGCATGTGATGTTCATAACATCATCTTGTCATTTTGAGCCTTTCTTCCTTCTTTCCCTCTCCCCACTGTTTTACTTCCTTATCTATATCCTTAAACGCTTTTCTTCATCCAGACTGTTCTGTTGAACCTTTACCCACCACATTCCAGTCAACATTAGTTTTCCACTTACTGATTCTCCTGATCACACAGAAACACACCTCCCCATCATTAGAAAGGAAATTGGGATTTGTAGGCATCACAGATTCCCTTCTGCCCTTATTCACTGTAGGCAGCAGGGGTGAAAACACATTTTGAGAAACAATTTGGATGTGTTAATCCAGATCAGAAATACAGTTGGTTTAGTTTCCTACCTACCTAATCCCATATGACTTGAAATGTCTTCAGCATCTGAAGGCTGATTTCATCAACTGCAGGGTATCCCTGATGTCTTCCAAGATGCTGTCTGTTGGTTACCTAACCTTCCTGCGCAGCCAGCAAGGTTATGTGTCCCCTTCTGTGGGTGGAGTGAGGGCACTTTTGTTCTAACAGGGTCAGGCTCACAGGTTGCATTTAGTTGTTGCTTTGTAAACTAAAACCGGAGTTGAACTGCACAGGGCATGAGAGATCCAAAATGAAACGCCACACTGGAGGGCGTTGCGTTACCTGGAGGGGTGTTCTCCACTGTAGGCCTTCGGTGTTCAAAGCAAGGTAGGAAGCAGGGGCATCACGAGGTGGGCTCTGCAGCATGTCTTGCCTTCACATGCATATGCTGAGGCGTTTCCATGCGTTCTGGAAAGCATATTGATACCCACTTCATCTTGAAGCAGAAAAATAAGGGGGTGGTTTGGTGGGGGGTTTTTTGTTTGTTTACATATTGAGCAATAGTTAAGAGGTTAAATTATTTCACTGCAGCCTACATGGAAAGATGTTTGAAAGGGTCAAATACTACAATGGTTATTCATGTTCAGCTTGCTTTTCAGAGCTCCACTTCTTTGCAGCATGCCGAAGCATGGCAGAGCAGCATGGGATATTACTGCTTGGTAATCTGAAAGAATGAACATGGAAAACCATTTATGTTCAACCTACATGTGTTTATTTTCAGTAGACTACAGTACTTCTTTCTTATTTTTCTCTTTTA